TAGAAAGAAATTATAAATAAAATAAATTAATATAGAATTTATTTGGTTCTTTTTCAGCCTGTTAAAAGGGGAAAACATTTTTTTCCCAATATTTGCCTGGAAAGCAAAAGTTATATATATGTTATTGAAATGGTTTTATGTTATGTTAATCAAGTACTTGATTCCTTAAAGAGCCATTTTTAAATCATAAGAACTGAAGTTTCACTGACCTATGTTTATGTTTAACATTTGTCATTGTCACTTTAAATAAATAATTGAATACTATTTAATTATATATATAATACTATATAATCTTTTGGTCAAATATGTTTGACAACCTTTCCAGGATTCAAATTTTAAGAAACTTTTTCTTGACCTGGAATTAGTTTTGAGTCATTCCAATAAGACCTGGAATTCCTCAAAGATTTATGTTCTCTCCTTATAAAAGGAAATCAAATCAGTGCAGATGGCTTAACACAGTCTGTTTCCTCACTGAAATAGATAAGAGGACAACACACTCCAAATGCAAGGGCATACACACTACTAAGAGTGATTATTTGTTCACTTAGCAGATGCACAGATGCCTCTTATATGTGGGTCTCTGCTAACGCTGTGGGTTATGCGAACAGTCCTCACTTTAAAGGGGCTTATAATATATTTTGTAAAGTCATGCTTGAATTATTTAAAGAAAGAACATAATTGAGCCCCAGAGGCCTAAAGATCAGGCTCTTTTTAGTTTAACTAAAAAAGTTTTTTCTTTCATGGTACGATAATGTACTCACATATAAATAAATAAATAAATCTGAGCTATAGTTACTATAGCATGAATAAAATGACATCTCTAATGTACTTGGGTCTCCACCTGAGAAGGGCTTTATGACAAGAAAATTATAAAAATAATAAAGATTTAAGATTTATGAATAATGGAAAATAAAAATTGACATAAAGGAATAAAAAAAGATGATTCTTTGCCGCTTTCCCCTGCCTTGTCGGCAGGGCAGGCTTCTCTCAGAGCCTCAGTTGCTGTGTCCCCTGTGTATAGGGGGACCCAATGTCTGAATGGATATAGATGTGTTCGGATGCACTAGCTTCTTTATGATGAGGTCTCAATGCCTCTCTGCAAGGCTTAATAATATTCTCACAGGCAAACTGTTTAACCATTGAAATGCCAGCCCGGGCTGCTCATCCACAGCGGGTTTGACAGCAACTAGTTTCCAACAGGCTTCTCTGAACTTTAGGGATCCCAGGCATGGACACAAAATTCTCTTAGAGAGTTAAAAAAAAACACTCTGCCCCGTGTAAACAATGTTAAGACATTGCTCCCCTTTCCTGTGTCCTTTTGTAAACCTGGGGTCAGAGGAAATGTTCCCATTCCTCTGCCCACGGTAGGACCCAAATACTGTCGGGGGAAGGGCTTCCTTAGAACACTTTTCACCGTGTTCCCCTGTAAGGCCTATTGGCCCAATTGGCTGAATTAGCAAAGGTAGTAATAGCAGCCTTAAGAGAAACAGGGCACATAGAATAGGGTCACCCTAGGAAGGGAAATATAAGGAAGGGTCAGGACCACAGGCCTAGGTCCCAGTTAGGAATAGAAAAGACAAAGACAAAGTCAGGTATAGAAAAACAAAATAAAATGCTGTACTTAATTTAGGAAAATGACAGGGCTAGGGCTCCTTCCAACTGAGCCCTCTGAAACCCAGAATAATACTAAATAATAGGGGATAAACTAGTTAGTTTCCTAATAGACACTGGTGCAGCAGACTCAGTCTTGACCGAGCCAATGGGGCCCTAACCTACCCCTGGACTTCAAAGAGGACTATAGACCTTGGGGAAAATACTGTAACTCATTTGTTTCTGTTCCTGCCGGAGTGCCCATACCCCCTACTCGGACGTGATCTCCTCCAGAGATCATTTAATTGCTGGCCACTGCCACTCCAAGCCAGACCCCGCATCAAGTTCCACAAGACGTTGGCCATCAATCCTGCCAGCCTGCCTCCAGATGATGACCCGGAATAACCTCTGCAGGACGGCCTGGAGGCAATCGACACTGCAGATGGCCGCCCAGACCTCAGGGATGACCCACTGCCATCATCAGATGAGGTATTGTTCACGGACGGGAGCAACTATGTCCAGGAAGATATCAGGTATGCCGGGGCAACAGTAGTAACTCTGGACCATGTCATTAAGTAGGGGAACTTCAGCCCGATGGGCTGAACTCATAGCCCTAATCCAGGCTCTCTGATGAGACAAGGGGAAACCATGCTGCAAATAAGGAAGATCAACATGTGGCCCTAAAACCAGTGGGGACCTCTCCAGATATCAGTTACCACACCAAACCCAAGTTCACCTCTGACTCCTACTTACACTGGGTCAGAAAATGACTTAACTGAGCAGAAACAAGTCATAAAGAAAATCAACGAATAATAGACACTGCCTGCTGGGAGATTGTTGGTCCCAGAGGCTCTAGGTCGGACTTTAGTCAACCAGCTGCACCAGCCTACCCTCTTAGGTTACACCAAGCTTACTGAACTCCTGGGAGGCAGATAATGTCCAATAAGGTCACAGGGAAAAGGAAAAGATAGAAGGAAGCAGGAATATATAGGTCTAAATAGGGAGGAAAAGAAAAAGTCTTGGGGGATATGCAGACAGCAGATAGATTGAGCAAGCTCTCAGGTTCATGTCAGGGGAGGGACTAGAAAAGTCACAGAGAGTCTATGTAAGTTGAAGAAGGATTATGCAGAGAAAATAAAAAGATAGGAAGAAGAAAGAGAGGGGCATACATATTACAGGAAGACAGGACAGTAGAGGATTACTCAGGAAGGGAAGAAGATAAGACACTGAGAGGGGAGAACTTGCCCCTACTAATATTATAACAGTCTAGGATGTAATAAAGGGAATAACAGGTTTAGGCTACTCCTGACCCTTAGATCAGACAATGACCCCGCCTTAATAGCAAAGATATCACAGGATATCTCTAAGGGATTAAATATAAATTAGAAGCTCCATTGTGCTTACTGCCCACAGAGTTCCAGGTAGATAGAGCGCATGAACAGGACCTTAAAGGAAACCTTAACCAAATTTACTTTAGAAACCGGTGAAAACTGGACCACTCTGCTCCCCTCGCCCTCTTACAGTTCTTACAGGCCCTGCAGTCTGCCCAGAAGGCCATCCATAAACACATCTGCGATGCCCTGCCTGTGCCCACCTCAGACTCTGTGCACCCTTTCCAGCCAGGGACTCGATGCAAATAAAGAAATTCACCATCCAAGGACTAACTCTGGCCTGGAAGGGACCATACACTGTCATCCTGCCTTCACCAACGGCTATCAAGGTCAACGGCATCCCGGTCTAGCTGCATCATTCCTGGTTGAAGGCAGAAAAAGCAGAATGAATGGTGCAGACCTCTCCAGATCCCTTAAAATGAGACTCTTACGTTTATTAGGACTCTAATTTTTCTGATTATAACTGTACAGGGGAATCTTTATAGATCTAGACCCCAGTGTAACTGGGTACTTAGAAATAAAACATTTAAAAAAAATCTTTAAGAAATGTCAACCAGAAGAGGGTCTATATGCAGCCTTAGGTGAAACCTGCTATTTCTATGCCAACCATTCAGGTATAATCAGACAGAGCATCCAAATTCTAAGACAAAGAAGCTAAGAAAAGGAGAACAGGTCTCCCATAATTAATATGAAAACTTATTTAATTAGTCACCATAGCTAACATCCCTGATTTCAGCTATAGCAGGGCCCCTACTGTTATTATTAATCGGAATAACTTGTAAACCCATCCTAATTAATAGACTCCTAGCCTTCATCAGAGAGAGAGTATAATCAATAAAACTTAGGGTCTTAACACAATCCAACTAGAGATTGTCTCCCCATGACAATTGTGAATCGATGGTTTGATCCACTCTCAAGAAAAAGGGGGGAATGTTGTAGCTCACTGTCCTTAGAATCCAACTTGTCTTTAAGCTGCCCTAATTAACAACCTCAGAGACAGCAAGATGAACAATGGGGAATGTTATAGAGGGCTTTAGCCCCATAAAAATTAACTAGAGTTTGACCTTCACTGGGAATTTGAAAAGCAACATCCTTCAAGAAAAGGGAGGACAGAAACGGCCCCAAGGCCAGAGTGTCCTGCATGCTCTGTAAAGAAACTGATAGGGAGAAACTGAAGCTCCCTTTACCCCATAAAACTGTAACTGTTCAACATGTGTGTATTGCACCTGACTGACCGCTGATATCTGTCTCGAATTTGTTAGTTTTTAAAACTTGGATAATGGAATGAATAGCAGGACAGATGTATGCTGACCCAGTTCACCCAGTTCCCTTTCGCCTCAGCTCCCTCCCCCCTCCGTTCCTTCCTGCTTATCGCTAACTGCCTCCACTTCTGTACAAGCAGCTTGCTTGCTCTGCTAAACTCTTGAATGACCCCTGCCCTATATAAGCAACCCTCCCCCTGAGCTCGGGGCTGCAGTTCTCCTCTGTGTAGGTTGGCTGCAGTCCCTGCGCAGGTAATAAAACATCCCCCAAAACTGAAAAATGGAGTCTGAGTGTGGTCGATCTCCTGGGTTACAACAATGCTACAATGGCGATGATACAAGTTCTGAAAAGGGAAATCACGTTTCTGAGCTTAAGAATCCCTTCTGTCTCGCCTAGAATAGTGCTATCCACAGAGTGGGTGCTTGAGTTGTGGGTTTTTAAAAATATATAAACTGGTACCTTTTGTGCTTATCTTCAAGGCTGGCTCAAGTATAAAACTGTTTTCTAAAACACTTGATAAACTAAAGGATTTGTTTTATTTTAAAGAAAGAAAAAAAAGGAAAGAAAAAATGCAACACTGGAACGTGCCTGTGAAGTCTGCGGTGCCAGTGGGCCCCCAGTTTCTCCGTCAATGCCTCGCTGGCCCACCCGGTCCCGGCTGCCCACGCCGTCCGCCCACCCTCGCGCCTGCGCACCGGCGCCCGCGGAGGCGGTGGGCGGGGCGGCCTGCGACTCCGCCCACCGGGTGGTCCGCCTTCCTCTGGAGAGGGCTTTTCTTCGCTTGCAGGAGCATCAGGTCCACAGAAGCGCGTGGAGTGGCCCTGTGGCAGGATGAATGCAGGCTCGGACCCCGTGGTCATCGTTTCGGCGGCGCGGACGGCCATAGGTGAGAGGCCAGCAGGCCCGCACGCAGGCCGGGCCGACCGCGGGGACCTCTGGGACGGGCCCTCGGAACGAAGAACCTCACTCCTTCGGGACCGGCCTGCCAGCCCCTCCCCCTCGGCCGTGAGGATAATTCCTTTCCGCGGGCTCTGATTGGCTCCCCGGGTAGAGCCACCGCGCCTTCCGACTCTCCCATTGGCTGGCAGAAAGAGGCGCTCTCGCGCGAGCTCCTGATTGGCCATCTCAGCCCGGTGGCCTCAGGGGTGGGGCTGCCTGTGGTCTGAGCCGGGGCTTGGGAGGGTGTCTTGCTGGGGTCCGAAGGTTAAAGTGAACTGCCCTTATCTCCTTAGCGCTGTGGGGGTGGCAAAGCCCCCGGACGCGCGGGAGGGCCCACCGCTTTTGTCGGGGAAGCGTGGCCGAACCCTCCGGCTTGGGGAATGGACCGGCCGGCTTCCTGCAGGTCCGCGGCCTCCCTGGCGCGCTGGGAGCCGCCGGCCGGGATCTCGGCGGCTGCGGTCACCTGCGCTCAGCTCTGTGCCCAGAGGAGCTGCGCCGGGCCCCTGCGCAGGCGGAGAGCCCGGGTCCGCCGGCCCCCCGCCCTGCGGCCTCTGCATCGCCCTCCCGTGCCCTTCTGCCCTAGGCTCCTTCAATGGTGCCTTGTCCACCGTTCCTGTCCACGACCTGGGCTCGGCTGTCATCAAAGAAGTCCTGAAGAGGGCTGCTGTAGCTCCCGAGGAGGTGTCAGAGGTCGTATTTGGACACGTTTTAACAGCAGGTAACTCTTAGGCGCCCTCGGCAGAGGGTCGTGTTCATTAGCAGCAGCCCATCGATGCATGGCCCCTCCCCCGCACAGACTTTTCCTTCGGTTACAATTCCTGGTGGTGCTCCTCTGCAAGGCCCGTGAACAGCTTCTCCCCACCCAGCATCTTCAGTGCACTCCTCCGGATCCGGAATGAGCCTAGACCACCATCCTTCACTGTCTTTCACTCCTTAGAAGCAGGGCCAGCCCGGCAGTGGGAACGTATGCATGAGCCTCCATTTTTCCTTAGTGTCACACATTCAATAAAAATGAATTATTGAATGCCTCCTTGGTGCCCCGCACTGTGCTAGGTGCTGGGGATAGCGCTCCAACAACACAGGTAAGGTCCTCACGCCTCACTTCTGAGCTGGTGAGACAGGCTGGCTTCACACTGCTCACAGACAGGGTGAGTCACTCCTGGGATGGGCACAGGTAAGTCACCTGAGTGCTCCAGTCTTCTGATTTCCACCGGGTTTATGGACCAGCAATCCCTGCCAACTCCTAATCAGTTAAATGTAACTAGTCTCATGCTCAGTCAGTAGTGTAAATTCTAACTATTCATAGTGATCATTGGCAGTGCTCACTAACAACGTGTATACATTTTGAGGGGACATCCTGTATCTGAGTTCTGCCTCAGACTGGTTACCGTCAGTCACTCCCCACTTCTTCCTTCCCAGACCCATGACTCAGATTTACTCAGTTGCCATAGCATATTCACCTGCTGGTTTCTCGGCTATATTTTCCACATCTCACCTCTAGTATCTCTACATATTATAATAAGAATATAGCTGTGTTTATTAAGGGCCTGCTGGGCCCATAAAGCACTGTGCCTAGTGCTTTCCATTCATTACCTCATTTAGTCCTCGCAGTAAGTCTATTGGATCATATTATCTCCATGTTACAAATGAGTAAATGAGATTTTGAGAGTTTAAGCAACTTATCCAGGGTCAGAGTTTGCAGTGGAGCTAGACCTTGAACCCGCATCTGTCCTCCTGAGCCTCCACAATAACTTAACAAGCATTCACTGAGCACCTGCTGTTTTCCAGTTACCTATTTTATCAGCTAGATATAAGTGTTCACATAACATAGAAATCTTCATTCTCACGGAGCTCATATTCTGCCAAATGCTAGACTACTAATTAATTATGTTCAACATTCCTTTTGTTGTTAATCTTCACTGGAGGATATTTTTCCATTGACTCAGGTACAGTGGAAGGGAGGGGGGAGGGAGGGAGAGAGAGAGAGAGAGAGAGAAAGAGAAACATCAGTTGGTTGCCTCCTGTACAACCCTGACCAGGGCTGGGGATCAAACCTGCAACCGAGGTATGTGCCTTTGACCTGAAATCGAGCCCACAACCCTTTGGTCTGAGGGCTGACATGCTAACCACCAAGCCAAACTGGCCAGGGCAACACTCATTTCTTAACTCTTAAGTACCTGAAGACAAGGATTATGAATAAATACATAAAACTTTTATAAAGAACTTATTTACTTAAGTGCACATGTAATTCATTGTAGCTTAAAAAGCAGGAACCTTAAATAATATTGCCTTCTTTATTGACTAGTGTCTTAGGAGTTTAGTTCAGAGAATATTTTAATACTGTGTTTTTAACCTTTTTCCTGCATCTACTCTGCACATCCAGCCTAACACCAGATTAATAACACTGTGATGAATATTATCTACATTTTTGTCAATGATCCATTTGCTAGTTTTTTTGCTAAGTGTGGGTATATTAGTAATTAACAGTAGAGTGACCACTGTATAAACACTGACCCTTTGATACAGACAGCAGTGACTGAGAATATTTTAAACTTTCAGCTCCATCCCCTTCTCTGATACTTTGATTAAATTAGGTGTGTGATATGCCCTGGCCGGTTTGGCTCAGCAGTTAGAGCATCAGCCCGAGGACCGGGGAGTCACAGGTTCAGTTCCATCAAGGGCACGTACCTCAGTTGCGGTTCAGTCCCAAGCCCTAGTCGGGTCATGCAGGAGGCAACCAGTCAGTGTGTCTCTCTCACGTCATGTTTCTCTGTCTCTTCCTCCCTCCCTCCTCTACCCCTCCCTCCCACTCCATCTGAAGGAAAATGGAAAAGTATCCTTGGGTAAGGATTTAAAAAATGAAGTGTGTGATGTATTTCTTCCCACTCCCTGCAGGAACTTCTAGAGCTATTTGTCAGTTCTCGTGTTAGGTAACCAGTTAACCATGGTGTGGTGAATATTAAGGAAAGAAATGCTTCTTCTCAGAGATTTTCCTGTTTAAGTAAGCCTCTTGTCTTCCCATGGCTAAGGTATCCTAACCATGGTCACGGAAGCACCAGCCTAGCTGGAAATAGGAACAGTGCCCATGTTCTGCCCTATCTTCATAAGGGAGTGTGTGCTTATTCAAGCCCTGTCAAAAGGTTAAGAAGACAGTTCCTTCTTAAGGTATTAATGACTGTGGAGAAGAAAGCTTATATCCACCTATGTCTACAGGACAGCACAAGGTGATACGTATTTCAGGGCTGGACTCTGATGGGCGTGGAGTGTACACAGGCCTTCGCACCTCTGATAGAGCTTGCCTGGCAGTGGTGGTAGACCCTGTTGCAATCTCCGGATCACTCATACTGCCTCCACTTGATTGTTGAGAGGCCTGTTTTCCTTCTTCCAGGTTGCGGGCAGAATCCTGTTCGACAAGCCAGTGTGGGTGCAGGGATCCCCTACTCTGTTCCATCATGGAGCTGCCAGATGATTTGTGGGTCGGGCCTAAAAGCTGTGTGCCTTGCAGAGCAGTCAATCAAGATAGGAGACTCCAGCATTGTGGTTGCAGGAGGCATGGAAAATATGAGCAAGGTAAGGCGTCTGAAGAGATGGCTGTTGCAGACCTCTCACTGCTAACTCATGTCCATGCCATAGCAGAGTAAATCGGAGCATATCAGAGTTGGAACCAAACAGTAAACAAATAAAAAGTGGATTTGACCTTGATCCCTACCTGCATGTTGTTTTTCACATGAGATGGGATATTTGAAGAAAAAGCCTGTCAACCAGTGTGATGAGAACAGAATGGTTTTTTAAAAATATTAAAGAAGCATAAAATATTTTCTGAACCTATAATATTAGTCAGTATATATCTTTGGTCTTAAATGTCTTTCTCATCGTGAGGAAAAGTCAAAGACAGATGTTGCCACTTACTTACCTTCATGCACATGACAAGGAGGACCCCAGGAACCAAATTTTGTTGACCTTGAGGAGGTATAGAATGTAGAAAAGAGGACCACTGAACAGTACTCTTCTCTAATAAGATTGCCAAGTGGGATTTGTTTCACCAAGTTCCATCCTTCAAAGTGGCGCAACGAAAAAGGAAAAAGTACATCCCTTCCCGTCTACAGGCAGTTCAAGGATCTGCCCTGGAGATCGCCTCGGCAGACATCTGTGCAGCTCAGCCTCTGCTGGGGCCCGGGTGCGGCCGGCTGACGGTGGCAAACAGTCGGTGATACTGATAGGACCCTACTAATATCTGTGTAGTGCTATACAAGCAGTCACAACAGCATAGCCCTTAGAGGGTAGATGGTGTCATGGTTAATTTACAGGTGAGTAAACTGAGGCCCAGAGCCAGGATCTTCTGACCCCTAGTCCTTCTATTCTAGTATAGCTGCTATTGAGTTGGTAAGAGTTAAGAGGACACCCTACCCAGAAATCCCTCCTCATCAGTTAATTAGGCAACCTGATTATTCTCACTATAGGCATTATGTCTTCCCATCAAAATAAACACTGTTAGCATCACTTAAGCCAGCGGTTCTCAACCTGTGGGTCGCGACCCCTTTGGGAGTCAAACGACCCTTTCACAGGGATCGCCTAAGACCATCGGAAAACACATATTTCCGAAGGCGATTCATAACAGTAGCAAAATTACAGTTATGAAGTAGCAACGAAAATAATTTTATGGTTGGCGGTCACCACAACATGAGGAGCTGTATTAAAGGGTCGCGGCAGTAGGAAGGTTGAGAACCACTGACTTAAGCCCTTAGATGATCTCTTCGTTTCACAGATAAGTAGTTGCCTCTTTGGAAAGAGTGAATGAGGTTCTTAAGGAAATAGGACACAGAAGTGGGTTACATTTGACAGAAAATGGAAATGGGTAGGCAGGGGAGTCACACGCTCCCAAGAGGAGACAGGGTGGAGTGGTCTGCTGATTCCAAGGGTTTGGGGGCCCTGGATGAGGAGGAGGATGGGCCAGAACTGGGGAGAAGGGTCACAAGGGGACTAGATGAGGACTTAGGGACTACTGCATAGTTAAGAGTGGGATCCTGAGGAGAGGACTAGTTATAACCAAGCCTAAATTTAACGTGTGTCTTGCTTCCAGGCTCCTCACCTAGTTCACTTGAGGACAGGAGTCCGGATGGGGGAAACACCACTGAGTGACAGTATTCTCTGTGACGGGCTTACAGATGCCTTCCACCACTATCACATGGGCATTACAGGTAAGGCAGGCGTAGCTGAGAACATCTTTACTGTGGAAAGGTTAAAAATCATGTAGTAATTGCTCCACAGGTGCTTTCCTTATTATGAGACCATATGTGATTCAGAGGGATACTTGCTGTTCAGCATAATCTTAATCTAATCTTGAAACAACAAACCCAAATCGGACATTTGACAAAAGCACTGGCCCCTGCTCTTCAATAATATCAAGGTTAAGAGCACAAAGAGAGTCTGAGGAACTCTTCCAAAAAAAGAAACTGAAGAAACTGACAGTGAAGTGCAGTACACGATCCTGGGTTGGATCCCGGACTGAAAAATAAATTAGCTATAAAGAACACCGTTGGGCCCTGGCCGGGGTGTGGCTCAGTTGCTTGGGTATCGTCCTGTGCACTGGAAGGTTACTGATTTGATTCTTAGTCAGGGCACATTCCCTGATTTTTGGGCTTGATCCCCGGTAGGGGACATGCAGAAGGAAGCCCATCATTGTTTTTGTTCTTATATTTTTATTGATTTTTTTAGAGAGAGGGGAAGGGAGAGAGATAGAAACATTGATGTGACTCAGCTGCCTCCTGCACACCTCCCACTGGGGATGGAGCCTGAAATCTGGGCATGTGCCCTGACCAGGAATCGAACCAGGACCTCTCAGTCCATGGGACATGCTCAATCCACTGAGCCATACCAGCTGGGATTGAGAGCATTTTGCTCTCACATAGATGTTTCTTTCTCTCTCTCTCTCTCTCTCTCCCTCTCTAAAAAAAAAAATCATACTTACCTGGCAGGGGAGATACCATGACCACGAAGGTGGTCTTCCCGGGGCGAGGCTTGTCCGTTGCCCTCCGGATGTGCTGACCCCTGCGATTTCCCCAAATGTGGGAAACGACTGCACAATTTGTAAAAAAAAAAAAAAAAAAAATCACTGGGACAATAGGTGAAATTTGAACACGATCCAAGAATTAGAAATAGTATCATATTGATGTTGTAATTCCTGAATTTGAAAGCTATGGTTGGTTATATAAGAAAATGGCCTTGTTTGTGGGGAAATATACACTGAAATTAAAACTTAGGGATAAAGGAGCAAGCATATCTATAACTTTGGTTCAGAAAGAGAATGATAAAACAGTTGGGGCAAAAATAGACACTTGGTAAATCGGCATGAAGGAAATTTCTGAAAGTTTGAAGTTATATAAAGAGGAAAAGAGAGAAGGAAGGAAGCAAAGAAAGACAAAGGCTTCTTACGTCACTGCAGCATCTTCGCACCGGTGGGAGGGGAGATGCCGACAGTGCTGTCCCTCGTGCTGTCTCTCACCTACCAGTGAGCTCACTGCTACTGGGCGCTCGGTGCTTGTTTAAATGTGAAAAACCTGGGCCACCAAAAACCAGTTCCTGTAAATGTTTGGGTTTTGTTTTATCTATTTTTTCACAGCTGAAAACGTAGCCAAAAAATGGCAAGTAAATAGAGAAGATCAGGACAAGTTGGCAGTTCTGTCCCAGAACAGGACGGAGCGTGCACAGAAAGCTGGCCATTTTGACAAAGAGATTGTACCAGTGTTTGTATCTTCTAGAAAAGGTGGGTATATAAATCATAATGATTTCAACATCAATGTGGATGGCTATAAGTAGGAATAATACCCAAAAGAATAACACATGGGGCTGTATGAATCGTGCCCTAGCTATGTCTGTGTCTTTCAGGTTGCAGCTAAAAGATACACCCTGGATGCATCTGATAATGGTCGGGGAGGGAGGGGCAGTGTTTATGGGGTGAAGAAACATGGGAAGCTGTGCAGCATCCAGACATTCTTGGTTCCAGTGTCCTCACTGCTAGGTAGATAGAGGTTTCACAAGAAACTGGAGCATTGACTTGGGGTCGCGAGGCAACAGCTGACCTTTTACAAGCTAAATCTTCGTGAAGGAGATTTATTACTTCCTGTTGCTTCTGTGTGCATTTCATATTCCTTGGGTGGATTTATAAAATTTTTTTCTTTATTAATTTTAGAGAGAGACGAAGAGAGAGGGAAAGAGAGATAGAAACATCGATGAGAGAGAACATCGATTGGCTGCCTCCTGCATGCCCCCCCACTGGGGAGTTGGCCCACAACCTGGGCATATGCCTGGACCAGGAATTAAACTGGCGACCTCTTGGTTGATGGGTCGACACTCAACCACTGAGCCACACCAGCTGGGCTCTTGGGTAGATTTTTTTTTTAATCCTCACCCGAGGACATCTTCCCATTTTTTTTTTTTTGTTCAGGTAGAGTGGGAGGGAGAGAGAGGAACAGAGAGAGAGAGAGAGAAACATCGATGTGAAAGGAACACATCGAGTGGCTGCCGACCGACCGACCAGGGCCGGGGACAAACTGCAACCGAGGTACGCGCCCTTAGCGGGAACCAAACCCGGGTCTCTCAGGACCGCAGGTCGACGCTCTAACCGCTGAGCCAAAACGGCCAGGGCGATCTTTTTATCTTTTTTTTTAATCCTCACCCGAGGACATTTTTTTCCATTTTTTGTTCAGATAGAGTGGGAGGGAGAGAGAGGAAGAGAGATAAAGAGAAACATTGATGTGAAAGGGACACATAGAGTGGCTGCCACCCGCACGACCAACCAGGGCCAAGGACAAACTGCAACCGAGGTATGTGCCCTTAGTGGGAACCGAATCCGGGTCTCTCTGGACCACAGGCCGACGCTCTAACCACGGAGCAAACCAGCCAGGGCTCTTGGGTAGATCTTTGTGGGTCACTTTGCTTTTATCTAATATGGAGTGCTTCAGTCAAGTTCTATTAATGGTTAACAGACCCTCATGTCCAGCCCTTAATGAGGTTGACTTCCACACTCCCAGATCCAGTTGGCTGTAACCAGCCAAATTCTGTGTTCCAGACCATAGCCATTTTGCACAAAGCATGGATGTGGAAAACACTCAAAATGTCTCATGACAACAGTGCACATAAAATGATAAAATGTTTTGTTATTTTTTATCCTCACCCGAGGACAGTTTCCAATTTTTTGTTCAGATAGAGTAGGAAGGGGAGAGAGAAACATTGATGAGAAAGGGACATATTGAGTGGTTGCCACCCACACCACCCAACCAGGGCCGGGGACAAACTGCAACCGAGATACGTGCCCTTAGCGGGAACCGAACCCGGGTCTCTCTGGACCATAGACTGACGCTCTAACCGCTGAGCAAAACCGGCCAGGGCCACATAAAATGTTTTAACATACAATAGCCCAGCCAGTGTGGCTCAGAGGTTGAGCATCGACCCATGCATCAGGAGGTCACCGGTTTGATTCCCGGTCGGGGCACATGCCTGGGTTGTGGGTCCGATCCCCAGTGTGGGGCATGCAGGAGGTGGCTAGTTGATGTTCTCTCTCACTGATGTCTCTGACTCTCTCCCTCTCTCTCTAAAAATCAATAAAGGAAAAAAATGTTTCGACATATAATAATTTTTATTAGTGCATACTTTTCTCTTATTGGAATGAAAGTATTTTTTAGTAAACTTTTCTTCCAAGTATGAGTCTTCATGTACAGGTCTGAGGAGTCTGCCATTCCTAGCATGCTGACTCCCATCTCTGTTCTGAACTCAGGTAATCTATTTTCTTTTTTTCAGGTCTTACTGAAGTTAAAACAGACGAGTTTCCTCGCCATGGGAGCAACATAGAAGCCGTGTCTAAACTAAAGCCTTACTTCCTTACAGATGGGACAGGGACAGTCACCTCAGCCAATGCTTCAGGTTAGAGTTTTAAAAAATTGTATTTATTGATTTTAGAGAGGAAGAAGGGGAGAAACAGATAGACATATTTATTGTTCCACTTATTCATTGGTTGCTTTTTGTATGTGCCCTGAGCAGGGATCAAACCCGCAACCTTGGTGTATTGGGATGATGCTGTAAACCAACTGAGCTACCCAACCAGCGCCAGATTAGATTTTTCTTTTTTTTAAATTTTATTTTATTTTTGTAATCCTCACCCAAGGACATTTTTTCATTTTTTGATCAGATAGATAGAGTGGGAGGGTGAGAGAGGAAGAGAGAGAAATATCGATGTGAAAGGGACACATCGAGTGGTTGCCACTCACACAATCCAACCAGGGCCGAGAACAAACTGCAACTGAGGTACATGTCCTTAGTGGGAACCGAACCCAGGTCTCTCTGAACCACAGGCCGATGCTCTAACTGCTGAGCCAAACCAGCTAGGGCTTCCTTTTTTTTTTTTTTTTTTTAACATTTTTTTATCTTGCCCTGGCTAGTTTGGCTCAGTGGGTGGAGCATTGGCCTGTGGACCAGAGAGTTCTGGGTTCGGTTTCTACTAGGGGCACATATCAAAAAAAAAACAACAAAAAACATTTTTCTTTATTGATTTTAGAGAGAGAGGAAGGGAGGAGAGAAACATTGATGAGAGAGAACATTGATTGGCCGCCTCCTGCATGCCCCTGGCTGGGGATTTGGCCCCTAACCTGGGCATGTCCCCTGACCAGGAATCAAACCGGCAACCTCTTGGTACATGGGTCAGTGCTCAGCCACTGAGCCACACCAGCTGGGCCCAGGTTAGATTTTCTAAAGGGCAGTTGGGGAATCCCATCTTTTGGTAGGTCTGCCAGGTCAATACCTTTTTTCTTTTGTTTTATTAACTATTTATACATGTTATTCTAAAACCCTGCTTTAGGGGAAAACGTAGTTCTGCACATTTGATCATTAGTTTTTCCATATTTGATTAGACTTAATCTGTGTATACTGATTGAATGGATTTGCTTTGCCAATATCCTAACTAGACGCACAGATAAAAATGCAAATTAGGAAACCCCAGTTTACTGTTGGAACTTTTCCAAAAACAGAAGCTGTCAGTACCCTACTGTGAGGTTGGGGCTTTTTCTTCCATTTGTTTTCATTAATCTCTTTTTTTCCATTTTTGGTTCAGATAGAGTGAGGGAGAGAGGGAGGGAGGGAGAGAGGGAGGGAGGGAGGGAGGGAGGGAGAAAGAGAGAGAAAGAGAAAGGAACATTGAGTGCCTGCCTCCCACACGACCCTGTGTTTGGGACAAACTGCACCCGAGGTACATGCCCTTAGCTGGAACCGAACCCAGGTCTCCCTGGACCGCAGGCCGACAGACACTCTAAATGCTGAACCAAACCAGCCAGGGCTCCCTTCCCAGTTTTAATCATTTCACTTTCTCCCACTGGAATGCTCTCTGGTCAATTAGGTCCTATTGCCTAACTTAATATTTCTAATTACAGTCAGGTTTGAAATATGACAAATGGCTTTGCCAAGATGTGTTGACTTATGTCAACACATGTTTAAGTCATGTCTTCATCAGGTGTTTAAATTTTAGAAATCAAGACAGTCATACTTTGTAGGAATTAATGATGGTGCTGCAGCTGTGGTTCTCATGAAGAAGTCAGAAGCCGATCGTCGTGGGCTTGCACCTTTGGCACAGATCGTTTCTTGGTCACAAGTAGGTCTGGAGCCTTCCATTATGGGAACAGGACCGATTCCAGCAATAAAGAAAGCTGTGAGTTTAATTCTGAATATTAGTGCCTGTCCTTGGCTTTATTAATTTACCTCTGAGACTGGACCAATCACCTGCAACTCCATATTAAGCTCTCTTCTGAACTTTGCCCAGATCCTTCCCAGTCCAAAATGCCGATTGATGTTTGTTTTCATGTTTATTCCCATCAGGTTTCACTTGTTTCCCTTTTATGCCAGTCTTCCAATTAGCCTTAAATGAACTCATTAATTCCCTTGCCTATTTTCCCTACCACAAAGAGCAGCTGGAATATTTAGGTCATGTACTTTAGGAGAACTGATACTGCTGTTATCACCTCTCCTACACATGACAGATGTTACTGACTCAAAATTTAAGTTTAGAGTTTTCAAGGGTTGTTTTATCCTTAATCTCTTAGAATTGGTGTCAAAGCAAAATGTGCTATCACTAAGCTGATAGAGAAACCCCAAATGGCAGTGTTCAGAGGTCCTTCAGTATCATAGTATGTTCTTTATCTACAGTGAAGAATGGTTCAACCAGTTTTTTGACCTCTTCCACCATTCTTTCCTTTAGGTTGCAAAAGCAGGCTGGTCCCTGGAGGATGTGGATGTATTTGAAATCAACGAAGCCTTTGCAGTCCTCTCACTTGCAATAGTTAAGGAACTTGGATTGAATCCGGAGAAGGTAAATATGAGCAAGCTGTCCTGAGAGCTTGCAAGTACATGTTCACAATACAAAGTAAGGCATATGTAGTTAGATAGTAACATCCCAGATATTGGCTACACAGTGCAGTTGAGTACCTGCCAGGTAAGTTCCTGCTTGGATTTGCAGATTCATGTTTTGCTTCCCAAGGCAAAAGACGCTGGAAAACATTAGCTCACTTCAAATGTTAATGGGATTAAAACATTTTTAATCTAAGGAATAAGGGAGGATAGTCAGCATTGATGTAACAAAGGTGTAAGCCAGTTTCGAAACAGTTAGAGGGCAGTTTACTGGTATAACATTAAGAAGGAAAGTCAGTAGCTTAACCATTTACCTAGAGAGTAACCAATCTCCCCCCCCCCCCTTAGGTCAACATTGAAGGAGGGGCTATAGCCTTGGGCCATCCTCTTGGTGCATCTGGCTGTCGGATTCTTGTTACCCTGTTACATACAATGGAACGAACCGGTGGACAACGTGGTGTTGCTGCACTGTGCATTGGGGGTGGGATGGGGATAGCGATGTGTGTTCAGAGAGGGTGAACCTGCTTAACTAAACTTGAACCTCCTTCCTTTCTAAGTAAGGCACCAATATGTGAAATCAGGACCAATGTGAGGATGGAAGCATCTTCCACTTCACAAGAACCCAAGGCTCGGCAGTTTGTTGTACTTTAATGTGTAATACTCAAGGTATAAGACAACTGCATGTTACAGTGTTATAAATAAAAGAGAAATCAATTCAATCATCAAGGGCTCCTGAATGAACAGCATCTTCATAACCTCCATGCTTATCATCTTTACTTTCTGGATGTAATTTAATAAGATCATCAATTCGAAGAATGGTAATTGCAGCTTCTGTTGCAAATTTCAAACTCTTAACTTTAACTATGGTTGGTTCAAACACTCCTGCTTGTTTGTTGTCTCGAGGTTTACCATTAACCAGATCAAGACCAATCCTGCAATTTAGAAAAAAAACCTGTTAAATGACCTCTTATAACACATACCTATCCTGTCCCTTTAAGACTAAAGTACTTTTTAAAAAAACAATTAACAGATATTAGCACAAAAGAGTTGTAGAAAACACTAGATGGTAGACATCATTTAATATCTTATAAAGGGGTTGCTTAAAATGGTTATGATCGCCCAAAATAATCTCCCCTTTCCTCTACTAGATCGTCCTGTAGGTAAGGTAACTACCCAGCGAGGCAAGGAGGGGTTAGGATAACAACCTAAGACACATTAATGCCAATAAAATCACAGAAAACACAACTGATATGATACACAGAGGACAATGAATAAGACAGGAAATTGTACACTTACCATTTTAGATTCTTACGTTCTGGGTTAACTTGAGCCTCATTATGAAAAGCTCTTAACTTTGCAACCAGGTCAGTGGAGTCTTGGGCAGCATTAACCGCCAGTGTGTTAGGAATAACAAGAAGAGATCGTGCAAACTCTGCAATAGCAAGCTGTTCCCGAGACCCCTAAGAAGAAAGACAATGAGGTGTTTTCAAAAAAGGAAGAAAATTAAAATGCACAGCAGTAGAGGTCTCAGATGAGGCATATTAACAAAATGCTAGAGATGGACCTCTTATGAAAAGAGTGGATTTCTAGATGTCCTTACCATGCTGGTTGCGTAGTTTTCGAGGTATATGGAAAGGGCTGCTTCTACAGCACCACCACCTGGCACCACAGATTTTGACTCCAGAACTCTCCTCACCACACAAAGAGCATCATGTATAGAGCGCTCCATCTCATCACACATGAAATCATTTGCCCCACGTAAGATAATTGAAGCAGATGTACGAGCCTTAGTGCTATTAAAAAAGACAAAGTGAAATTCTTAAATCAATACTTTAGAAATTCTGCTTATATAAGGACTTTCGGACATGGAAGCAATGTCTAGACCATGCATGCAGAAGAGATGAAATGGTTATTCCACCTCAATTGACAGTGGTCCAATGTTATTTTATCCCATGCGTATAACTGCTCATGTCATTGTAAAGACTATAGCAGCAAACAAATGGGAATGTGATCTATTTTTATTCATTAATAAAATCTAGTTAACTGTATAATTTAGAAAGTAGCTCTTACTTTTTGACCAGGATCAGTTCATCATCACAAATTCTCTCCTGTACCACCTCTTCTGCTTGTCCTAACATTGAAGTTTCAAAGGTTTCTTCGCCTTCCAAATTGGCCAGGGTTGACAGAATAGTTGCTAGCAAGGTAATTACAAAGATCTGTAAACACTGTTCTCTTATGAATATTTTCATATCCTGTCTTAGATCCAGAAACATGTGAGAAAATGATGTATAAATAAATATAAGTTTAAGGTTTACAGTTAAGCATCAGAAAAGCACTGTCCTTTTGTCCTAAGATGGAACTATTGTTTTCAGGTGACAAAATTCAGTAAAACTAAAATTCTCACCCTGACTGGTTTGGCTCAGGGCTTAGAGCGTCAGCCTGCGGTCCAGAGAGATCCAGGGTTCAGTTCCCACTCAGGGCATGTACCGCGGTTGCAGTTTGTCCCCCACCCTGGTTGGGTTGTGCAGGAGGCGACCACTAGATGTGTCCCTTTCACATCGATGTTTCTCTCTCTCCCTCCCTCCCACTCTATCTGAACAAAAAAAAAGGAAAAATGTCCTTGGGTAAGGATTAAAAAAAAAACAAACAAAACCCAATTCTCCAGTTACATGAAAAATGGCTCTATAAATATATTTGTAGCAGAAATCATTAAAGGGAGTAAAAAGAAAAAAGGGCTATTTTTGAAGCTACTTAATATTGACACTCCAGTGTAAAGAAACATTGCCATGTATTGTAACATGAATTGTCACATCTAGAGCTGGCAGAAGACATACCTCCAGAAGCTTTAGCAATGCGTTTAAGGTCCCTTTTTAAAACTCTTCTAACTGCCATTGCACCAGCCTCCACAAAATACTTCAGACACATATCGTCAATTCCACCTGTGGTTAGAATAACATTGGCTCCGGCTGCCAGGATCTTCTGGATTCGCTCCTTGGTGATATCTGATTCTCTACAGATAAAGTATTTGAGTAGTAACCCAGTTACCTTCTTTGTTTTTTATGTAACATGGCTTTAAGTAGTACAGTATTTTTCACAAAATAACTGTGCAGATTAAATTGTATCAACCACACTTTCCCTTCTATGACCAGAATTTAAACCACTCAAATTTACAGAAAAGTTCTAGGCATTAAAAATGACCACTTAAGCCCTGGCTGGTTTGGCTCAACAGTTAAAGCGCTGGACCACGGACCGGAGAGTCCCTGGTTCGGTTCCCATTAAGGGCACGTACCTCAATTGCAGTTTGTCCCCGACCCGGTTGGGGTCATGTGGGTGGCAACCACTCGATGTCTCTCTCTCTCTCACATCTGTTTCTCTTCTTCCCTCTCTTCCTCCCCACTCTATCTGAAGATAAATGCAAAAATGTCCTCAGGTGAGGATTAAAAATAAATAAAAAAGACTACTTAACCTCCCTGCTCCCATCCTCCAATTTGAGTCCCTAACCAAGAACTGTGATTAGAAAGGAAAGTGTCTGGCGGGGAGGCAGACTGTCAACCACATTTCGTGGCCAATGCTACCACAAGTGGAACGCAGAGATTATGAGCACTGGGAGACAGAAATCCATCCTGCAGATGGGACAAGGAAAGGTTGATGGTCTGGAGTCAAGAGGGTTCCAGGGTTGAAATTGCAGGCAGGACCAGAAAATGAAGAACACTGTAAGGGGGCTGTTAGAGAGTCTGGACTGTTTCATCTTTCTAAGTAAGAGTAGCATGATCAAATCTGCGTTTTCAAAAGAATCCCCTGCTGTCAACATGGAAACTGCACTGGAAAGGTGAAGGACTGAGGCAAGGAGGCAATAATTGGAGACACAGATGACAAGAACAGAGAAGTCAAAATCTACGGCGCAGGTAACTGGGAGGTTCAGCCACTGACTCTGGAGTAAAGGCTGCAGGCGGGATGAGTTTGAAGCCCGTGTTATTCACGTGCTGCTGCCAGGAGGCAGGCAGACATGTATGGAAATCAGAAACAAGCTATGGGAAAAAGTCAATTTTACAGATAAATGAAGCCACTTCACTTATCAAAGAATTCTTAAAATATATGAATTCAAGATTAACCTCAAAACAAACCCCTTTGTATATAATGAACAAGTACTGTGCGCCAGAAACGACTAAAAACGGGGTGGGGGCTACAAAGGAACATCATTCCGGCTCCACCTGCAAAACTTACAATCCAGGTCATACACACACACAGAAACGTAAGCCACAGGAGACAAGGCATAGAAAGTATGGGTAATTTAGATTTAGGAATAAAAAAAGCTTTGAGACTGACCACCTAAAGTAAAAAGTTAATCAAAACAGGTAGGAAGTAGGTTATAGGCAGAGGAATAAACATTCCAGGTCCTGTGGAGGAAGAGCACGGTGAATCCTGACCCTGTTGTGGCTGGACCACAGTGAGAAGAACGTGTAAGGTACTCATGGCTGGCAGCCCTGTGGAAATAGCCTAGGAGAGGGTGAGTGAGAGTGAGCTTCAGATGACCAGCACACATGCCTCTGCAATAGTCTGGAGTAAGAGAATACAACTCGGAAATAGAGTCATTTGATATTTAAATTGAAGATAGAAATCAGGTGGTCTTGGTGGAAAATGAGGAGGGAAAAATTATTAGATTAAAAAAAGAAGATATTTTCTAGTTTTCTGCCTAAATTGAGCGTTCCCATTACAAAATAAGTAAGAGTGGATTTGAGGCGCATCATCCCAAGTTCAGTTTTTAAAAATATTCAATTAGAGAAATATATTGTATTTGGAGCTCAGAGAAACAGATTTGGGAAGTCTCCCAAATAATAACAGAAGTCACAGAATGAGGAGAACGGTGAGGAGGTGCCGTCCAGGCACAGCAATGCAGATGAGCACCATCACAGAGCTGCTCCACCCTCCAAGCATTTCAAGAAGTGGTCAAAGGCTTGATAAAGTCAAGTGAAGGCTGAACGTGTCTAGTGAATTTCACTCTGTCACCAGTGCCCTTAGCAAGTGGTACTCCACCGGAGAACAGAGCTATAAAAAGAAAGAGAAATAAAGCGCCAGAAATGTTTTTGGGTAAAATCCTTCTTGAGACATCTGGCTGTAAAGAGGTAGGAGGGATAGGGAGGAACTGGAGGAAAATGTGTGAGCTACAAGTGAAATCTAGAAAGGAATGAAGAGTAGAATTAATAGATGAAGATGCGGTTGAGAAAGAACTATCAGTGAAGCAAGACTCTTAAGGCAGAAGGCAATGGAATCTGGGACACTTAATGCAGAGGGATTGGCCTTTGATGGAAGGACACTTTCTGTTATGTCAAGAAAGAGGAAAGAGATATATACAGTTATAGTTAAAAGATGACGGCATTCCTGACTCTTGGCGAGTATTTCTTGTAGATTTGGTTGTTATTTAAAAAAAAAACCTAACTGACCAACCATTAAAAACTTGTATTTCGCTAGGTCTCTAGCATGTCAATCAACAAATACCATCTGTATCCCTAGTACTTGCTAGGCATACAGCAGGCACAGTACACTGCTTGGTTCCTCTACTGTTTATCCAAGGAAATACTTTAACTAGAAGATGCAGCACTCACTCTTTTTCAATTTACTGTCATCTGCTCTAATGGAAGTATCATTTAGAAACATCTATTTTCAAAGTTCAAAAATAATCTTTCAACATACCTCTGTCTAATCTGGTCCAGTTTCTCAGGGTCTGTAATAACCACCTGTACACCAAGCTTCATTTTTGTTTTCTGTAGGCTGAAGTCAAGGCAAGCAATTTTTGCATTAACTATTCTCTTGGGCATGCCTATAATTGAACATAATATTAAATTCCTTTAGAGTAACTATTAATAATGATATACTTTATAACATACACCTAGTCATAAGCCTTCCAAAGTAGTAGAGATTAAAGTTTATTATATTGTAACACAAATTTCAGTTTTATTAAGTTAACATTGCAAATGCATTTTTTTTTTAATCCTCACCCGCGGACATTTTTCCATTTTTTTGTTCAGATAGAGTTGGAGGAAAAGAGAGAGAGAGAGAGAGAGAGAGAGAGAGAGAGAGAGAAATATCGACGTGAAAGGGACACATCGAGTGGCTGCCACCCACACGACCCAACCAGGGCCAGAGGCAAACTGCAACCGAGGTACATGCCCTTAGCAGGAACAGAACCCTGGTCTCTCTGGACCACAGGCTGACGCTCTAACCGCTGAGCCAAACGGTCAGGGCACAAATGCATTTTTATGGCATGAAACACATGTACTTTCTTCTAACTTGCATTTTTCCTAAGTTACGTGTTTAAGTCACTGAAGAGAAACTGACAATGTGAGCTACAATTCCTTAAAGAGCAGTAAGTGCGCCCTGGCAGGTTTGGCTCAGCGGTTAGAGCATCGGCCTGCGGTCCAGAGAGACTGGGTTTGGTTCCCGCTAAGGGCACGTACCCTGGTTGCAGTTTGTCCCCGGCCCTGGTTGGGATGTGCAGGTGGCAGCCACTCGAAGTGTCCTTTTCACGTCGATGTTTCTCTCTCTCTCCCCCCCCCCGTCTCTTTCCCACTCTATCTGAACAAAAAATCGAAAAATGTCCTCGGGTGAGGATAAAAAAATAAAGAGCAGTAAGTGCACAACAGTCCACAAAAAGCTAGTATTTCCTCTAGTCCTCTCCTTATGTGATCAAATCCAAGCCTTACCCTGGGATCCCACCACACAGTTGAGTGCATAGCCATTGATGAGCATGCTTTCCATCTGACTTCTCCCATGGGCTTTCAGAATGTTAATGGAATTGACAGGATATCGAGGCTGGCCTCTCACATCTGTGTATTTAATAGCAAGGACGGCATCTACTACCATATTGGCGAAGAAATCACCATCTCTAAGACAACAGTTAAGGAGAACAAGAGACTTAGAATGGACAACAGGTAAACATGAAAATCAAGGGTAATGCAAAGGCACTTCCTTTTCGCAATCTCATCCAAGAAACAAACATTATTTACACCACCAAAGTGCTAGAGTACTATTTATCACTATCAGCAATTCATGTTACTTTTACAGACACCTTATATTACCTTTCCCCCTGGAAAAGCAGGGAAGGAAACAGGCAATTTCAATATACCACCACCTGACATGAAAACTAACACAGCTTCTTCTATTAAAAAAGCCTAAACTTTATCAGACTACCACAAGGATACATTCCAATGATTTTGGATGACATTGATGTCTTAGCAGCATTAGTCAGGCAATCTCTTCCAAGTTCATCTGTATTAATAATTAGATTTTCACTGATATAACGCACTGCTTCCCTGTTTAAAGGAAGGGGGAGAAAAAGTTACAAATTAATTCACTATTAAAACTTGTTTTACCATAGTGTCAAAATGTCACAGACACCAATTTTCTGTTCAGCCATTTCATATAGGAGGAGGACACAAATAAATCCTCCCTCTTCAGATCATGGCAATTTTAATCTGTCCCATAAGCATAGCCACTAAAATCTATTAGGAGAAAATGTGGTAGTCAAATGGGAAAAAAAGGTACTGGCCCTACTTCTTACTTCAAATATTATTACTTAAAAATGCTAAAATATAACTTTTTCAAAGTAAGATGTAGTCATTAATGAACACATTTAAACAGTTTGCAGTCATTATATATCATGTAATATAAAATTTTCTCTGAATGCAACCTTACTTGCAAGCAAGTCGATAGCCACTAATAACTGATGTGGGATGGATTTTCTGTTTGACTAGTTCATCCGCATTTTTTAGAAGTTCAGCTGCAATAATAACCTGTTGAGAAAACATTCATTGCTGTAGTATTAGTCTGACACCAAAACTATCAGATATTAACCAGAATTATGGCAGTGAAATGAATAACTGATTAGAAACCTGAAAAAAAGAGAACTTCTACAGTGTTTCATACGCAAATGGCCAAAGCCAAATAAGAGCCAGAAAAAGGTTCTGGCTAATCAACTAGTTCTGCAGCACAACAGTAAAGGACTACACACCCACTACCTTTAACGACAGTGTTCAACAGATGCTAAATGAAGAGTCTGATTACTCAAGTGACCTGAACTAGTCTAGGTTATTACTTGATTTATTTTAAAAATAATCAAGAACACTAAAAAATATTTTTTAATAAAAAAGACTCACCAACACCACTTCTTTTGCAGGAAATTATAATTTTAAATCCAGTTTTATTATTTAGGGGATGTAGATTCTATTCTTTCATGGCTTATAGTTCAATTTAGAAATGCAAACGTTTTCCCCCACAACACACTGTATCTTTAGAGCAAATTATTTGTTCTTCACAAAATAAGTGTTTCTACATCAATGTGCTGGATGGATACTCTCCAAGTTTATGTTATTGATCGGGTTTACTTTCTCACACTCCCATTTTGAACTCATGAGATTGCCTTGTCAACACTTAAAAGATAAAAACATCACGTTTTTATAAACCGGTGAAATTTTTTTCTTTAGATAATTATAAAAGGAAGGTTTTAGAATTTTCTAAGTCTCAGGTCATGAGGGGACTGGAAAAACAAAACAAATTGCGCAAACTAGATATAATTAGTTTTTTTCAAATTTTGTTTCAGAATCACTACCCAAGAAACAACTTAAATATTTTCCCTCTTAAGTAACTTATTTCTGACTCAGACGCAGATGACTTAACTATGGTTTACTTTCTGAAAGTTTGATTTAGGAAAGCCACGCTTCAGTCATCTACCAGGTGACTACCTACCACGGAGGTAGTTCCATCTCCCACTTCTTTGTCTTGCAGATCAGCTAGCTCACAAAGAACTTTAGCTGCAGGGTGTTCTACCTCCAGTAACTTCAGGATGGTTGCACCGTCATTGGTAATGGTGACATCCTAAAGAAATTTGCAGGGAAGAAAAAACACACAATCACTTACAGAAACAAGGCATCCTCTAATGAACACAAACCCATTAAGACATACATTCACCTAACTACACTGTCCAATACCAGCACTCTGATGAAAAACAAAGAATTTACATAGCAAAACGTTTAAGATCTATCCTTTTAATTTAAAGAAACAAACATCTAGCTATACTTACACCAATATCATCCACCAACATTTTATCCAAGCCAACCGGTCCAAGAGAGCTTTTTACAATATTGGCAATAGAAGCTGCAGCCATAACTATAGAAATGAAATAAAATAAATTAGAAAAATCCACTACTTCAAAGGACAATTTCAGGTTAAAAAAAGTAAATGACATCCAACAGCCTCTGAATTTTCCAAATTTATACTAATTACTTAAAATAAAAACGTCATCTACTTGTCATAATTTCGGGTTCTGCCACCTCATTCATTCGTGTGTGTGTATACACACACCAAAAAAAAAAAAAAAGCATCACATCAGTCTTTTGTTCCAGAAACTGGTGTTTTTTTTTAAAAAAATCCTATTAAATTCAAATCTTTATCTGTGATTAAAAAAAAAAAAGGGAATCCAAAGGTTCTGCCTTTACTGCAAATTTATCCAAGACAAAAATTAGTATTCTATCAAATTACGGTAAGATCAACAGGTATCCATGACTTCAAAACATAAACACTCTCAAAGGAGGCTCACCAACAATCGCTTTCATTCGTACCAATGTTCACTAGAATAAATTCATCTCAAGTATCGCTTATGCCGACATCTGACTAAATTCCGTGGGCTCCTCTCTCAAGAAGCTGTCGGCCACCCGGCATCTACTGCAGATGACAGCCCGAAGTCGTGGCCCTTCGCTCATCAGTAAAACGAGAAATTGGAACCAGTCCTTCCTGGTTCCTGGCCCTAAAACGAGGCCTAGAGGTCGGGGGACACGCTCTTCGTGCAGGATCGGAACAAAGGGGCCCGGCGTGACCCAGGGGGCTCCGGGCGCGGCCCGCACGTGTCAGTACCGAGGCCGCCTTTCCGCCCCCCGAGCCTGAGCGGCCACAGCGACCACTTCCAAGGCGCGGCCCCCGAAAACGTGCCGCGCTCTGGGCGTCCCTCCCCTGCGGGGAGGGGGAGCTGCCGCCCGCCCAGAGGCTACGAGGCCGGCGAGGGAAGGGCACGCACCTCACCTCCACACCCTCTTCTGGGGGAGAGGAGAACACAACGGGGCGGGCTAGGGACGGGGGCAGCACCTCGCGCCGGCCCAACCCGGGCCTTGCCGGGCCTTACCGTTCTGGGAGCGGATCGCCTCCCCAGTGCTGCGGTCCCCGAACACGGACAAAGGCCCCTCCATTTCGCGGCAGGGTACACCTGGGGTTTCTCTTGCACCGCGGACAATTGGCGTCTCGGTCCCTGGGCCCAGCGGCGGCCACACCAGCGGCTCCGGCAGCGGCAACGGCAACGGCGTGGAACTAGCCCAAGCGCTGCCGCAGGGGATGCTGGGAACACCGCTCCACCTCTTCCTCCCTCCCCGACCTACCCCGGCGCCATCGCGGGGCAGGGCGGGAAAGAACGGGGCGGGGGGGGGAGTGAGAAGCGTGAAGATGCAGGAAGTGAGGAGCCGGGAGAGGGCGGGCTTAGCACTTTCGCCCAATTAGGGAGCGAATGAGAAAGGCCAAAGGTAGAACGGAAGTCAGGGTGTGGGACCGCTGGCAGAAGGTGCTCGGTTGCGCGCGCACTCGTGAATTCTAGTGCCTTCTAGAAGAGCTGGTGCAGGGCGGGGTGGAGCTTGGAGTGTGGGGAGGGCAAGGGGGTGGCGGCTCTTCTCAAAGGTAGAGCTGGGCTTCCGAGCTACTGTTGCCTGTTAGTTTATACCAGAGATTTTTAACCCTTTTCACCCCATGGCTCACATGAACTACTAAAATTCTGCAGTTTGCCAAAAAGTATATTTTTTGCCTATTTGACAAAAATAGGTGTGAGTTTGATTCATTCACACAGGACAGCTATTGTGGTGGCTGTCATTTCTTTGACAATCTAAGAGAAGAGAGGTCAGTGCTCCTGACCAGAGTCAGGCGCTGCATGTTTTAAAAGCCCTTGCGGCATGTCCAGCGGGTGTGGCCGGCGGGCTGAGCTCAATCCCTGGGCTGGGAGGTCGGGTTCAGTCCAGGGTCAGGCTCGGTCCCCAGTGGGGGCGTGCAAGCAGCGGCCGATCAGTGTATAGCTCTGTCACATGGATGTTTCCTTCCCTTTCTCCCTTTCTCTCTCTCTAAAAAAATAAAAACATTTTTTTAAAAAAGTAAATAAAAATCCTTGCAGCACACCAGTGGCTTATACTAACTGTCTTCCTTAAATGTAGGAACCTGCTCGGAGGGCACAAGTCGCAGGCTTTGTTCCTGGCCCCAGGGTATAAACGCGGGCCAGGGAGAGGCCGAGCAAGACTTTCCACGGCCCTTAGGTAAAACGACAGCCGCCATTTCTGAAGCGAAAACCGCATCTTGCTCTGTGCTGATCCCTCCCAGTGCCCAGGGGGTGTGTGTATCGCCCGGTCGGCCTGAGCTCCGCAACCAGAGGACCCAAATAAGGCGGCGTGAGGCCACCGGTGCCTCACCCGGCTGCACACAGCGTCGCCGAAACTAACGGGCCACGCCCCCTCCCAAGTGCGTTCCTGAGAGGTGGTTGGTCGGCTGCGGCGGCTGCGTGCACCCCAGCGTAAGCGGTGATTGGGGGAGTGGAGATAACAAGTTGCCTTCTCAGCCACTCAGCAGCAGGGAAGCTATTAGTTCCGGGTGGAGGCCTGGATGACGGACATGATCCTAAGGCTTTTCCCTGAGTTAATATGGCTGCGGCCAGCTTGACATGGGGTCGCGGGTGAGGAAAGGAGGCGAAGGTTTCCCTAGGCTATGCCCTTGATCCCCTCAGCGATGGCGCTACGGTCACGGTTCTGGGAGCTGTCGGTTTGCAGGAACTTCGGTAATTAACCTTCCCACTTCTCTGAGATGATTCCCTGTCCTCCCTGGGGCCTGCACAGTAAAGTGCATGTGCAAGTGCAAGTCGTATTTCATATTCAACATACCCCACGGAAGGATAGACGAGCTAACAGCATTGTGATGAGAGTCATAGAAAATTAGGGACTGGGCTCTGAGGTCCTTCCACTGACCAAACATGCCTTTTGGGGGGAGTGAATGGGAATATTCCCGTTTTGTCCGTGTTCGGCTATTTCAAAGGTCCGTCTGGTTGTTCCCTTTCTTAGGGCGTGGGGTCGCCGCGCTCTCCACCGGTTCCAGGCCAGAGGTAAAGCCGGAAGTAGACCCTCTGGGAAATGAAGCCGTTGCCCCCGAGTTCACCAACCGGAACCCCCGGAATCTGGAGCTCTTAGCGGTGGCCAGGAAAGAGAGGGGTTGGGGGACAGTGTGGCCCTCCCGTGAGTTCTGGCACAGGTAATTAAGTCGGCTAGTTGTGCACCGATAGCACGGTGCACGGTGCCCTGCGAATCGTTTCCGTCAGTTCATTCAGTGAACGTGCCAGGTAGTGCGGGGGTTCTCTTCCAAGGAAGCTGCGGCGCGGTTGTATAGGAGGGATTAGCGGAAGTGAGGGGGGCGGAAACATTTGTCATGGGGAACAATTAAGAGGGATGATGGTTGAATGGGGGCTGGGTGCCTACTAAGGACCCTCTGTAAGATAGGAGTAAGCCCAGTTATCAACCAAGAAGGGCATTGCCAGCAGTGGAAACAGCTAGGGTGGGTATGAGCTTGGTGTGTTTGAGGATCTCAGTGGACAGTGGTGTAAGATGAAAATGGACAGGCAGAGGGGTACAGATAGTTAACTTTGTAAGCACTTTGGACTTGATTTTCACTGCAGTGAGACTCTGAGAGGATTTAAAGTTTGAGCCCGAATTAGAGATCATTCTGGTTACTTTAGGGGGAACACATTGGCAGGAGTAGAAGCGAGAAGACCAGTTAGGGGTCTGTTTGTTGTAAAGATGGTTATTTATTGAACACTTTCTATTTGCCAGGTGCTATGCTAAGTTGCTTTATATGCATTTAAGTCTTTGATCCATCTTACACTTATTTAGGTGTTAGTCGGAAAATAAAAGCATAGAGTACGTTTGTCTTTACCCAGTGTAGTCAGCAACTTAGCTCAAACCCTTTTTTGAAGTAGATGCAGTGTAAATCTCAGCTCTCAGAAATACCAAATTTGGTTGGTTTATTATTGAGGACATCCTCATAAAAGCAGAGGAAAAATGCTTTTCCAAGTAAAATCCAGGTTAAGTACACTGAAGTAAGTGAACAAAATATTTAGGCATGTATTCACCTGAGGCCATTTATCTTTAGGATTCTTTTATGGTTTTATTTTCTTCTCTCCTCATTTAGGTTGCGAGTTATAAGGACTCAGCATCATATAGAAGCACTGGTTGAGCATCGAAGTGGCCAGGTTGTGGTTTCTGCATCCACACGTGAATGGGCTATTAAAAAGCACCTTTATAGGACCAGAAATGTGGTGGCATGTGAGAGTATAGGACGGGTGCTGGCGGAACGATGCTTAGAGGCAGGAATCAACTTCATGGTCTACCAACCAACTCCTTGGGAGGCAGCCTCAGACTCGGTATTTTTGTTTTCATGTACTTTTAAAACACTGCTTGATATCCTTGATGTTTCTGTATTCTCTTTTTTCTTAGCTATGTCATTATTAAGGTCATTTTCTGAAAAACCAGTATAGGTGGGAACTTAGCAAAGAGCAAATCAGTTGTTTAGTTTTCTTTCTCTTGGGAAGTAGACTATTTATTGTCAGCTTCATGGTGCTGATTTAATCTTTTCTCTTTTTTCTGATCTTTAAAACCAGATAAAACGACTACAGAGTGCTATGGCAGAAGGTGGTGTGGTGCTACAGGAGCCTCGGCGAATTTATGAATGAAATAGGAGCATTGTTTGGAACTTGTAAATATCAAGCTGTCGGCTACTTCATCCATCAGAAGAGGGCACCTGGAAGAACTGCCAACTTGGAAGTTTATGCAGTAATGTAACTGCAGAATATTGTTAGCAGTTACGATCATCCCCTTCTCCCCTTGTGTGTGGGAACTAAAGTCTTCCGCTCTCTTGGACATGAGGGAAGAGTCTGAGAAAAGCTGTCACCAATTACAATTAACGTTTGAAGGACAAATGAAATGTTAAGAATAAAGGCATAGTATGAACTTTTAATTTCTGGTTATATTAAATTTCTTCACTTTTTCAGCTCACTGTAGCAAGAGTACACATAAGAGATTTATGCAAAGCACTTGTTACCATGTCTAGCTCAGTGGGTGATCTAAACGATAGCTGTTGCTGCTCAGGGTGTGGAGGTGTTTTTTTATTTTTACTTTTATCATTATTTTTTCTTTATTGATTTTTAGAGAGGAAGGGAGAGGGAGAGAGAAACAGAAACAGCGATGAGAGAGAACGTCGACTGGCTGCCTCCTGCATGGCTCCACTGGGGATTGGGCCCACAACCTGGGCATGTACCCTGACGGGTAATTGAACCGGCGACCTCTTGGTGCATGGGTTGACACTCAACCACTGAGCCACACTGGCCAGGCTAGAGGTGTTTTTTTAAAATATGAAATAATCAGTGTCAACTTATGATATGTAGTCTTAGTGACGTGAAGATAAAAAGGACAAATTCTAACCTCAGTTGGGCTTCTGGATCCGAACAGGCAGAACCAGATTTGAAAGGATAAGGGAATCCCAGAGGAACTGAAAATGGAGGTGGAAATGGACAGGGTTAGTGCATTCTGAATTTGCGACGAAGTGAGACTGTTAGATGAGAGATGAAGTTTGAAGTGCATTCAAGTTAAGCTACAGTGGAAGCTGGGTAGATGGGAATCATGGTAGTTCTCTTAAAGGAGTTGATTAAATCAAAATAAGTTGTGAACCACTTATGGCTGTTTAAGATGTGAAGAGAAAGAACCTGTGAGCAGTTCAGGTGGCTTCTAGAGCATTTCCCCTCAATTATTAAATGTGTAGCCAATTACACATAGAAGTGAAATAACATTAACTGCTGTCTATCTCGGTGTTCAGTGTGTTTTTTATCTATTTATTTTTGGATTTTTAATGACCGAAACAAAAAAGATCTAAAAGCACAGCTTCTGGAAGAACCATTTGTTCTTGCCGGTCTTGTACCTCTCTTCGAACTTGACCTTGGCCTCCTGTCTGGCCTTGCGTTTCAAATCAGGGTCTTTGAAGGCGTCCTTGTTGACAACAGTTGTCCAAGGGGGTGTCCACTGAAAACCTTGTTGGCATGAGGTGATTGTAGTTACACACTTTCATAAAAGACTTGATCTTTGACCTCTTGGCAATTTTCTTCTTGCCCATGGCAGCTGTCACTTTGCGGGGACAGCATTCAATTCCAGCCACCAGAGCATGGCTGTAGGGGCAGTCCAAGGTGCCATAGTCAATGTTCTTGACGGCAACTGCTTTGCATCCAGAGTAGCGTCTGGCCAGGACCAGCACCACCTTCCTGGGTTTCATAAACTTGCCATTTTGAAGGCAGCCACCGGGCCTCTTCAGTATGTTTTCTAAAGATAAAGATGTATTCACCAACATTTTTAAAAAGTGTAATTGATTCTGAGAGGCCTTTGGAATGCAATGGCATAGTGCCCCTTTTGATCAATAAATACCCCAGTGGAGATATCTATTGATTTATTTTTAGAGAAAGAAACATTCATCTGCTCTTCCACCTACCTTTGCATTCATTGGTTGCCCTCTACATGCGCCAGGACCAGAGATCCAACCTAAAACCTTGGCACATCCGGATGATGCTCCAATCAACTGAGCTACCCAGCCTGGGCCCCCCAGTGGAGACATTTAAAAGCATATATTGTGCTCTTGTGGGAGGCAACCAATTGATGTGTCTCATCAATGTTTCCCTCTCTTTATCTCCCTCCTTTCCTTCCATTCTGTAAAAATCAATGGAAAAATATCCTCGGGGGAGGATTAACAATAAATAAATAAAAATATATATCATAGTTTTACTATTTTCGTCCCTCATCCGAAGGATTGATTGGAGCATCTCATTTTAAAGGCCATGGTTCTAGAAGGCTGTTTAAACAAGTCTAGAATTGAAGGGAGGATATAAAAAAAGCCCATGGAGAGGACTGGTGGTTTTGGAAGTTAATAATGACAAAATGGGGTCCACCTGCAAGTGATGCTGTAGGTAGGGATTTTTTTCTGCAAGGAAAATGATTACCCTACAGATCTCTCCGCACCAAGGATTCCTTCAATTTGATTGGCAATTCTTGGGGCTTTGTATGGCGTTTGATACCAGGTATTAAAGACAGTGATGGTGCAGCCCTGGTTGTTAGAGCGTGGTCCCATATGCCAAGGGTGCAGTTTGACCTCTGGTCAGGGCACATACAAGAAGCAGCGAATGAATGCATAAATAAGTGTAACAACAAAATTGATGTTTCTCTCTCTGATGCAGACAAAGTAAAGTGAAGGAAAGATGAGGTGTGGGGAAGCGGGTGGGCACAGACCAATACTGGCAAGGATGGTGAGGTTGGGACCCCCACCCCTCACCTCGTGTCACGCCTGCAGTCTCTGCTTATCAGGTGCTGTTTATGACTTGGTTTTACTCTTTTTCAGACGATTTTCACCTCCCATGCCTCAACATTCTAGGTCTATGTTGACTGACAAAGAAAGTGCTGCGGAGCAAAGTCAACGGGCTGTGATTGCCAAGGCGAGGCTAAGCAGCCTTTACCTGGCGGCCAAGGGGTGCGGCGAGACTCCGAGTGCGTGGGCGAGGTGCGCGGCCCGCAGCCCAGCCCGTTTCCCTGCGCGAGCCCTTTAAGGCCAGCGGCCCGGTGGAAGCGCGCGCCCGCCGCACTGGGCGCCCTCGCCGAGCTGTGCGGCCATGGACGTGGGCGCCGACCAGTTCGAGCAGAGCCTCCCTCTGCTGCAGGAGCTGGTCCTGGGCGCGGACTTCGTGGGTACGCACGCGTTCTGGGCCTTGTCGCCGGGCCCGCTGGGCTGGGGGAGCCTGCGGAGGGGTGGCGTGGGTGGGACAGGCCGGAGCGGTGGGCCCGGCCGGACGGCGCTAGGCCGCGGGGGGCTCGAAGCGGCCCGGCCAGGACAGAGACCCCGTCTCAGCCTAGTTACCCTCAGGCCCCAGTGGCCCGGGTGGAACTGAGTGGCATGTCCTGGCCTTGGCCCCCTCCGTCTTCCCTTTGTGAACTCACCTGCCTCTTGAGCACAAGAAGGTGAGCCCAGCAGTTCGCCACCTGCAGCATGAACAGCGAGAAGGGCGGTGGCAGTGGTCCGAGGGCCGCTTGTCATTTTCCCTTCCCCGCAGGTCTGGACATAGAGTTCACCGGCCTTCGCACTAACCTGTCCGGGTCCCAGCAGATCAGGTAAAGCTAAACCTGCCTTAGGGCTGAGCTGGAGAGCCACTCACCTGTGCCCCCGGGGGGGGGGGGGGAGGGCATCCTGGCCATACCAGCACTGTTTCTCAGCAGATACCTGTTGGCACGGGGTGGGCAGGACAACGTTTTGTGTGGGGCTCTGGGGCCGCGGCCTTTGTCCACTAAGGGCTGGTAGTGATCCCCAGCTAATGAGAAGTGGCCGAGAGGTGCGGACCCAGCGTGGAGGCCAGCACCCTGATGCTCTCATTGTCTGTGGAATGAGATGTCTGTTTTTTCAGCCTTTTTGACTTGCCATCGGAGTGGTATCTGAAGACCCGTCGGAGTGTTCAGCAGTTTACCATCTGTCAGATTGGTGAGTCTGATCTTCAGCTTGTCATGAGTTACTAAGAGAGAGACTTCTGCTTACGTGTTTCTTAACTGATCGAATAGCTTTGACATCTTTCAGCGAACCTGGCTACCATTTTGTGTACTTGTTCGGTTTTGGTCGTCTTATGCCTGTCAGACTAACACTTTGGAACAAGCAGAAATTAATTTAGTGGCAATATTTACATGCCTAAATAAATCAACATTAAGGAACCTGTACCATCTTTTTTTTTTTTTTTTAATTTTTTAAAATTATTATTATTTTTATCCTCACCCGAGGACACTTTTTCCATTTTTTGTTCAGATAGAGTGGGATGGGAGAGAGGGGAAGAGAGAGAGAGAGAGAAACATCAATGTGAAAGGGACACATCGAGTGGTCGCCACCCACATAACCCAACCAGGGCCGGGACAAACTGTAACCGAGGTACGTGCCCTTAGTGGGAACTGAACCCGGGTCTCTGTGGACCGCAGGCTGATGCTCTAACCGTTGAGCCAAACCGGCCAGGGCCTGTACTGTCTTTCAAGGAAAAATGTGTATGATTTTTGTTTAGAGAAAACTTATGCAAACAAGATAATGCTGTACACATTTTGTTCTGTATCTTTTTGTTTTCACCAGTGGGGTTTAGAGATCTTTCTATATCAGCACATGCAGATCTCTTGCTCATTTTTAATAGTTGTATTCCAAACTATGAATGTATTTATTGCCTCAGTTTCCTAATGATGCATATTTTGGTTGTGTTTAGTAAAACAAGGTTGTACTGACTTATCTTAGTATTTATATATTACTGTACTTTTGTGAGAATATGTATTGGGGGTATTTCTAGCAGTGGAATTGAAGAGTTAAAGGGTATGTGTTAAAAGTTACACTGGCCAGTGTGGTTCAGTGGATTGAGTGTTGTCCCATGGACTGACTGAGAGGTCCGCGTTTGATTCCCAGTCAGGGCACATATGAGCTCGATCCCCAATAGGGGGCGTGCAAGAGGCAGTGGATCGATGTTTCTCTCTCACATCGATGTTTCTCTTTCTCTCTCCTTTCCTCTCTGTCTAATAAAATCATATCAAAAAAATTTTAAAGTATTGCACTGTGTTACCAACCTATTCCTCCTACCAACCATCCACAAAGATTACAGTAACTCACGCTGACAGCAGTGAATGTGTCTGTTTCCCTCATTCACACTGGCAGTTATCACTCTTAAACTTTTTTGCCCACCTAGTAGAGGAAAAAATGATGTAATTGTTATTCTGATTTACAATTTTTTCTTTATTGATTTTAAAGAGAGAGGAAGGGAGAGGGAGAGAGAGATAGAAACATCAATGTGAAAGAGAACATCGATTGGCCGCCTCCTGCACACTCTCTACTGGGGATTTGGCCCACAACCTGGGCATGTGCTCTGACTGGGAATCAAACCAGCAACCTCTTGGTGTGTAGGTTGCAGCTCAACCACTGAGCCACACCAGCTGGGCCTGATTTACATTTTTAATACAGGGTCAACAAAATTTTTCTGTAAGGGCTGTACAGTATATATGTTAGGCTTTGCAGGCCATATGGTATGTTACAACCACTCAATTTTGCCATTGTTAATGGGAAATCAGCCATACATAGTACATAAATGAATGAACATGGCTGTATTCCCATAAAACTTGATTTATAAAAACAGGCCTTAGATTTTACTGACTCTTACTTTTCCTGTGATTGATGATGAACATCAGTGTGTGTGTGTTTTGCTCTCTGTCCTTTGCTATTTCTATTGTGGTTGTTTTACTTGAATGTAAGACCTCTTTAAAAATCAGGGGAAATAGAGCCCTGGCCGGTTTGGCTCAACGGTTAGAGCATCGGCCTGCGGTCCCCAGAGACCCTGGTTCGGTTCCCGCTAGGGGCACGTACCTCAGTTGCAGTTTGTCCCCGGCCCTGGTTAGGTTGTGCGGGTGGCAACTACTCGGTATGTCCCTTTCACGTCGATGTTTCTCTCTCTCTCTCTCCCTCCCACTCTGTCTGAACAAAATATCAAAAAATGTCCTCGGGTGAGGATAAGAAATAGATAGGTTTCTATTATTCTCCTGCCTACTTGGAAGTCTTTTCACTTTGGGTATGGTCATTTTTTTTTTCTAATTTTTATTTTTTTATCCTCACCCGAGGACACTTTTGCATTTATCTTCAGATAGAGTGTGAGGGAAAGAGGGAGGGCAGGAGAGAGAGAGAAACATCGATGTGAGAGAGACGTATCGAGTGGTTGTCCCCAACCGGGGCCGGAGCCAAACTGCAATCGATGTATGTGCCCTTAGCAGGAACCGAACCCAGGACTCTCCGGTCTGCCGGTTGACGCTCTAAGCACTGAGCCAAACTGGCCAGGGCTCTTCTTTTTTTAAGGGGGTTATCTTCTTCTAAAGCCCACACAGTATTTCTGGATGCAAAGTACTGTTCAAAATGTTTTGTTGTTGTAGTTAACTTCTGGTAGCTCTTCTTTGGTACTCATCCCCTACTATCACCTTCTAGGACTGTCTGTGTTTTCCAGCGTTGAAGGAGAGTCAAACAAGTATGTATAAACACCTTTGCAAAACACAGGGCTCTTGCCCATTTATCTTCCCCACCTGCCTCCCCCCAGATTCTGCTTCAGGCTCTAAACCACTTGGCTGTGGACGCTCCATATTCTCCCTGCTTCTGTGCCCTCCGCTTGCTCTCTACCTGGCCGACTCCGCGCGTCCTCAGGTGTCTCAAAGCAACACCTTTTCCGGAGGCCTTTCCTGACACCCTGCCCTGCGCCTTATGCATGTCTTTCCTGTTTCTGTGGTCTCCTGTATGGGCCCTTAGGACGTCAGTGAACACGGTGTTATACTGAGGGTGATGTAGCTCCCAGGTACCAGTAGTCAGGAAGGATGCTGGGTGGCAGTCCCGCTGGGCTCAGGATAGGGGGACAGACTGTTCTTCAAAGACAGGGTCTCTGCTTTTTTTCATTGACCCTCCCCCCTCCCAGGGCCAGTCACAGCACTGGAAAGAGCCGACTTCAAATACTTCTCAAGTGAAAGGAAGGGCCCTCTCGGAAGGCTGCTCTGAGCCGGGGTTTTAAAAACGGTTTTGGCATTTTCTCCTTATGTTTCCTTTTTGTTTTATAGGTACATAGCCCATTCGTGTAACTTCTTCCTCTTCCCTACAACGTTTGGGATGTTGGACTCAGAATTCTCTTTCCAGGCTTCTAGTGTTCAGTTTTTGAATCAGTATGGCTTCGACTACAACAAGGTGTGGCCCTGGAGGGGGAGGGAAGGTTGGAAAGGGGATCCGGTCCAAGTGGTCTCGGAGTCGCTTTCTTCCCCTTCGTGCCCACGTGAAACCGCCGAGGGAGGTTTCTTTTCACTCTGCTCCCCAACACAGAAGATGACTCTGGACTCCCAATTCTCTCTCGGTCTTTAGTTTCTCAAAAATGGAATCCCGTATATGAATGAAGAGCAGGAGAAGAGAATCAAACACAACGTCCTGAATGGGAATTGGCGAGTTCGCAGGTGAAGCCTGCTCTCTGGGTGCCGGGGGAGTTTCTTGGTCGCTGGGGGTTTTCCGTGTTTCCTGGGGGTGAGCATGCTCCCTCCAGAGTGTGGCGACCTCGAACGGTCCCCTCTAGCTGGGGTGGCTGCTGCGGCCTGCGCTCTGTCAGACATAAGCACTTGTAGTGCTGATGAGTCCATTACCACGCCTGAGTGGAGAAACTCTCACTGTACTGCGTGGAGTTTAGTGCTTAAAAATGGGGGGAAAAAGAGAAAGAAGTGACTCTTACATTGGCTCAAAGAAGCAAGAACTGCACTGTAGTGCGGCGGGGCGGCGGGTGGCTCTGCTGGACTTTGAGGTGGTGTGTTGGCCAGTGTGATCTTAGGGCGTGTTCAGGGGGATGGCGTGGGTGACCTTGACTGTGCTGGGCACATGCCTCGACTTAGTTGGACACGTCACTTCCGGTGCTCGATCCTGCCGCGTTCCCTGAGGATAGGACTTCTGCCTCTTTTCCTTTGGCTCCTGGTGCCAGCTGTCATTCTTGAGATTGGCCCTCCCGGAGAGCTGGGACAGGGGTGCTGGGGTGCTGGGTGAGTGGCAGTACCGTGAGGCGGAAGGGGAAGGCCCCTGGTCCCGCAGGCCCTGCTGTCAGCTGCCTGGTTTTGGACAAGTCATTTAAGCTCTTCGGGCTTTAGACTCATGCCTTTGTCAGGAAGGGGATTAGAGAGCTTTTAACTCTGCAGTGTGGTGATTAATGATTTGGTCCAGATCATCATCTTAAGTAATGATGGAGTTGTTTGCTTTTTTTAAATCCTTGCTTGTGGTTTTCACATAAAAATGTAGCTTTTTGTAAGGGGAAAAAACCACTTTGGATTTTTAACCTTCTGTTATTTTCGAATGTTGGCTAAAAGTCTTTCCGTATCTCAAAATAACATCATGTTCTTATATTTCTGAGACGGGAGAAGATGTACTTACCACAGTTCCTGTCTTTCCCTCATTCCACCAGATGGTGCCTTTTCACCTCTGAGAGCTGGTTAGGAAGACAGCCTGGTAGTGATGCGTAGTGCTGGCTAGCCGCCAGTGCCTCTCCTTCACACGCACTGGGGAGGCTGGGGGGCTGGAGCTTCTCCTGCGGACACACGGGAGGGCACAGGCCACGCGCCTGGCTCCCCGGTGCAGAACAAGGCTTGGAAAATAAGTGGTCTTTTTTGGGTGCGTTTTCTTGCCAGGATCACACTGTCAGTACTGGAGGCCTCGGTAGCGGCTCCCATGTTCACCTCGCCTTCTGGCTCTGGAGGTTTCTCCAACGTTTTCACCTTCATGTGCCCATTTGCAGTTCGCTGGATAAAGACCAAATGAAGCTGGTGATTAATGAGGTGACACAGTGGCTGAACCTGGCAGAGGAAGGCGACTGGATGACTCTCCCTGGTATTGCTGGTAGGCAGGGGGCTGCTCCCCCAACCTGCGAGCTTTGGTCTGGTGCAAACCCTCTTCTTCCGCAGGTCCTGGGCGGATGTGTGGTCCTTGTTGGAGAGATAAGGCTCTGATCTCAATTCAGAAGTGGAAGGCTTTTTGACCTATTCCGACTGTTAAGGTTGAGGAAGTGACGTTCCATTCAGAGTCATCCTTTTAACCCAGTCCTGAGGGCCCCATGTACTTGCATTGACTTCTGTTAATGCCCGAATTCCCCCCCGCGGGGCAGTGTGGAATCACAGTGAACGTGCCCTGGATTACTGGTTCTCAGGCCTGGTCTGTGGACCCCACGGGTCTCTGAGACCCTTCCCAAGGGGTCCATGAGGTGAAAAGTATTGTCGAAATATCACTTGGCTATCACTTTCCATGGTCATTGTGCCATTTGCACCAATGGTATCAAAGCAGAGGTGGGTGAACCTGTCAGCACCTGGGCACAGATTAAGGTGTAGCACCAACATGCTACTGGTCAGTGTATTCTGTCACCAGTTACTCTGTTAAAATTTTTTTTTTTGCCCTGGCTGGTGGTGTTCAGTGGTTAGAGCGCCAGTCTGTGTACCAAAGGGTCTCAGGTTTGATTCCTGGTCAAGGGCACGTATCTGGGTTGCAGGTTCAATCCTCGACCCTGATTGAGGTGCATGTGTGAAGCAACCAATCGATGTGTCTCTCTCACATTGATGTTTCCCTTTCTCTCTCTCCCTTTCTCTCTCTCACTCTTTCCTTCCTCTCTCTAGAATCAGTGAACATATTCTCAAGTGAAGATTTTTTAAAAAATCCAATTTTACTTAATAGTTTCCTTGGTGAAGAAGTAAGAATTTTTTTTTTATTTTTATTTTTTATCCTCACCCGAGGATATTTTTTTTGTTTATCATCAGATAGAGTGGGATGGAGGGAGGGAGAGAGAAAAACATCAATGTGATAGAGCCACATTGATTGGTTGTCTCCTACACGACCTGACCAGGGCTGGGGGTGAACCGCAACCGAGATACGTGCCCTTGACCGGAATCGAACCTGTGATTCATTGGTCCACAGGCCGATGCTCTAACCACCGATCCAAACTGTGCAGGGCAAGAAGTGATAATTCTTTTTTTAAAAAATGAATTAATTTATTTTTGTTACAGATATCCACCCCCTGACTCCCCCCTTCCCCTCCCTCCCTCCCGTCCCCAGCTTTGTTGTCCATGTCCATTGTTCATGCATACATGCATATAAGTTCTGTAATTTATCTCTCCCCCACCACCCCCTCTTCTGAGGATTGTCAGTCTGTACCCCCCTTCCACGTCTCTGGGACTACCCTGTTCCTCAGACTGTTATGTTCATTATATTCCACAAATAAGTGAGATCATATGATACTTGTCTTTCTCTGTTTGGCTTGTTTCACTTAGGATAATACTTTCCAGGTCCCTCCATGTTGTGTCAAAGGATAAGAGATCTTTCTTTCTTACAGCTGCATAGTACTCCATTGTGTATATGTACCACAGCTTTTTTATCCATTCGTCTACTGATGGACATTTGGGCTGTTTCCAGATCTTAGCTATTGTGAATAGTGCTGCTATGAACATGGGGGTACATATATTCTTTCTGATTGGGGTTTCAGGCTTCTTAGGGTATATTCCTAGAAGTGGGATCACTGGGTGAAATGTCAGTTCAATTTTTAATTTTTTTGAGTAACACCATACTGTTTTCCATAGTGGCTGCACCAGTCTGCATTCCCACCAGCAGTGTACTAGAGTGCCCTTTCCTCCACACCCTCGCCAACACTTGTCATTTGGTGATTTGTTGATGGTGGCCATTCTGACAGGTGTGAGGTGATACCTCATTGTTGTTTTAATTTGCATCTCTCTGATGATTAGTGATGTTGAGCATTTCTTCATATGTCTCTTAGCCATTTGTATGTCCTGTTTGGAAAAGTGTTTATTTAGTTCCTCTGCCCATTTTTTAATTGGGTTCTTTGTCTTCCCTTTGTTGAGTTGTATGAGCACTCTATATATTTTGGAAATTAACCCCTTATCTGATGTATCATTGGCAGTGATGCTCTCCCATAGAGTGGGTTCCCTTTCCATTTTGATGGTGGCTTCTTTTGCTGTGCAGAAGCTTTTTAGTTTGATGTAGTCCCATGTGTTAATTTTTCTCCTTTGTTTCTGTTGCCTTAGGTGATGTATCAGTGAAAATTCTGCTGCGTATGATGTCTAAAATTTTGTTAACCTACATTTTCTAGGATTTTTATGGATTCATGAGTCTCATTTAAGTGTTTTATCCATTTTGAGTTTATTCTTGTGTATGGTGTAAGTTGATGGTCTAGTTTCATTTTTTTGCATGTAGCTAAGAAGTAATCATTCTTAACTTTATTAAATCTCATCCTTTGCTCATCTTTTTAAATATTCTGCATGTCAAAATGAGTATGTAGAAAAGTAAGTATGCAGAAAACATTGCTGCTGCCTACCAAAGTGCAGTGGTTGTCTTGAGGAAAAAAACCTTATTTACATTTTGGGGTAAGAGCCGAGTTAGCTAGCTGCCTTTTTTTTTTTTTCATGAAATACTATTATGTAAAAATTTATCCTTATTGTTGTGGAATATAATAAACAAAATAAGCTGATGAATAAAATAGACCCAAAGACATAGAAGTAGGGTACAGACGGACAAACCTCAGAAGAGGGGGACGGAGGAGAGGGAAGAAATAAACCAAAGAACTTATATGCACATATGCGTAACCAATGGACATAGACAACAATGCTGGGGGCGGGGCGGGATTGAGAGGAGGGTGTCAATGGGGGAAAAGGGAGAAACATCTGTAACAAAAGTAAATTAATAAAATAAAAAAAATTACCCTTATTGTTGAAAGTATTACAGATGTCCTTCCTTTTTCCCCCCTTCCTCCCAGGTCCCCCATACTCACCTTCTCTGCACTGTTGTCTGTGTCCATGGAATATCATTTAAAACAAATATGTTTTTATTGATTTTTTTTAGAGAGAGAGGAAGGGAGAGATAGAAATGTCAATATGAGAGAAACATCGATCAGAAGCTTCCTGAACGCCCCTACTGGGGATCAAGCCCGCAACCCGGGCATGTGCCCTGACCGGGAATCGAACTGGGACCTCTCAGTCCATGGGTCAGCATTCAATCCACTGAGCACACTGGCCGGGCTGGAATATCATATTTACTTAAAGGAACTAACTGTAGTTATTTTTACTTGGGTATTTTCAAGCATTTTGAAAATGAAAAAAGTAAACCTATTTCTTCAAGGAGAAAACAGTCTTTGTTAGTGATAAAATCAGAGCTTTCAATCAAAAAATGGAATTTTGGAAAATTTGAGTCTGCCACCATAGTCTCAACCCCTCCCCTGTACTGAGACCTTTCTGATGAGGCTGGTGGCTGTAGTTACAAATGCCTTTTGTTGCTGTTCTACAATGAAATGTGTGAACATTGAAAGATCTGTGTAACCCAGGCAACCAGTGTTTTTCAGATAACCGATGCATGATGTTTCAACACCCTGGGCAAAAGTAGAGCGGGCTTGTTATTTTATTTTATTATTATTTTGTATTTATTTATTTATTTATTTTATTATTTTGTATTTATTTATTTATTTTCTCACCCGAGGACATTTTTGCATTTTTATTTTGCAATTTTATTTATTTTTATTTTTTAAAATTTATTTATTTATTTTTTTGTTACAGATATTTTACCTTTTTTACCCCATTGGCGCCCCCTTCCCCACCCCACCCCCGCCCCGTCCCCGGGTTAGTTGTCCATGTCCATTGGTCATGCTTACATGCATATAAGTTCTGTGGTTTATCTCTTCCCATCCCCCCCACCCCCTCTTCTGAGGGATGTCAGTCTGTGCCCTACTTCCATGTCTCTGGGTCTACTGTATTCCTCAGACTGTTATGTTCATTATATTCCGTATATAAGTGAGATCATGTGGTGTTTGTCTTTTTCTCATTTTTGCATTTTTTAAAAAAATCTTGAGATAGGGCGAGAGGGAGAGAGGGGAGAAGAAGCATTGACGTGAGAGAGACACATCGAGTGGTTGCCACCCACATGACCCCAACTGGGGCCAGGGCCAAACTGCATCTGAGGTACATGCCCTTAGCGGGAACCGAACCCGGGTCTCTCCGGACCACAGGCTGACGCTCTAACTGCTGAACCAAACCGGCCAGGGTGGATTTATTATTTTAAAAGAAAAGTTTACAATCTTCAATTTAATGTATAGTTTTATTTTCTTTCTATTTATTTATTTATTTATATTTTTAGAAGGAGTGAGAGGGAGAGAGAGATAGAAACATCGATGAGAGAGAACATTGACTGACCGCCTCCTGCACACCCTCCACTGGGGATCAGGCCCACAACCTGGGCATGTGCTCTGACTGGGAATCAAACCCGCGTCTTCTTGGTGCATGGGTCGATGCTCAACCACTGAGCCACACCAACTGGGCTAGTTTTACTTTCTAACATGGTGGCTATCAATAGTTATAATTCACACACACAAAGACTCTTTGGGGTCCTCAGTTGAAGAGGGGCCCCAAGATAAACTTTGAGACTGCTGCCCTAGGTCACTGACTGCCCTAGATCATGCCATGACCCGCTGCCCCGTCCCTGCCCCGTGGCCCATGGGCTTAGGCACACCTGAGAGCTTGTTTTCCGTCTGCTCCGTCTCTCGGCTTGTTTCTCTCAGGCCTCTCTGGAGGGGAAGGGGGACTGCGGCTCAGGTTCTGCTGGGGCTCTGTGTGAGCCCGTGTTTCTGCTGTAGGCTTCCAGGCCTTCGAGGTCCAGCTGGTGCTGAGGCAGGCCCTCCCTAACATCTGGACGGTACTGAGAGACCAGGGGGTGAGTTCTCAGCTGGAGGGGCGCCTTCGCCGCTCCATCACCTCTCATTCAGCCAGATCTGTCCTCCGTGGCACATGTGTTTGTCTGTCTGGCCCCTCCTGTCCCCTCCCTTTGGAGATGAAGAAACATCTCTTAGGCCGCATTCCCAGGGTTCAGGGAACGCGTGTCTCCTTTCCGTCCCAGGTGATGGTGAAGAAGGTGAGCAGACAGCATCGCTGGTACCTCGAGGAGAACTCTTGTGATAGGGAGAGCTGCTGGAAGGAGAAGATTCTTCTCTCTGCGCGGGGGTTTTCTGTGTTTTTCCAGATGCTGGTGAAAGCCCAGAAGGTAGGGAAAATCTCTCTTTTCTTGGTCTGTAGCAGTCTTTTGTATTTCTGGCCATAACCCTGGTGGGACCTCCAACAATGAGATAAGAGTCCTTGAGACAAGTGATTCCTTCTCGTTGGTAACTGCTTGATGGATCTGACTTGCCGTCGCCAAGTCCTGATGGACTCCTTGCGGAAACAGTGTCCACGTGAATCATCACTGCTCCTTCAGGCACGCGGGCGTGTCAGTGCCAGCTGCCCTGACCCACGGGGGAAGTGAGCTGCTCTGCTTCACTGTTCAGATGGCCGTGTGGCCCCGGCCTCGGCGCTCCTGCTCACTGCTCTTCTTTCCTGGGATTTAAGCAACTGGGCCGTTTTACATGGGGGGGGAGGTGATGGAATTACCACGTGGTCAGAATTGCAGTGGGTTCTAAAGCTACACCCTTTGCAAGAGACTGTTAGTCTATGGTGTTCGTTGTTATTTTTAACGTTTCGTTTCCCTCCCTGTCGATTTCCTCCAAGTAGCCCTTAGTGGGACATAACATGATGATGGACCTGCTGCACCTGCACGAGAAGTTCTTCAGACCTCTCCCAGGTAGGAGGGACTGGCATTCCCCTCCTTTGATCTTCGTGCGCCTCCTGGTACCCAGAGCCCCTGCAGAGCCCCTGCACACAGCCCTGTCCACACCCCGTCCAGGGTCCACACGCTCAGGTCAGACGCTCCGCGCCCTTTACCCCGTCCCAGAGCAAACAGCAGGGGCTTCCTCAAGGAGAGAAGCCGGCACCTGAATGGACCTCCTCCCCCGTCACAGAGGGCGTTCAGTCTCATTGTGGAGAACTCAGCAAAGTCAGCAGTGTGTGGAGACAAGCCACCCGTAATCTCAGCCCTAGTCCTGACACCCTGTCCTCTGTTGTGGCTTCTCACATCTTTGATCACACTGTGTATTTGATTTCATGGTTGGCATTCTTTTTTTCACTTACCAAAAGCATTTACCATGTCATGATCCTAATACATGTGGTTTCAACAGCTGTGGGCCTGGTCTTACGGCTGCACCGTGCTTTCCCGCGAAGGCCGCGCGGACCACAGCCGTGCAGTGGAGCAGTTAGAAGCGTGGACGAGAGAGCACGCTTAGGTCCTCACCCCCCTTGAGCACGTGCGTGCTCAGGCGAGTTAGGTCAACACCCCTATTCTCAGGTTCCTTGCCTATAAAGGGGGGGTGTGCAGAGTACCCATCATAGGGTTGTCTGGGATTAACTGAACTAAGAAATATACAGAGAATACTTGTCTAGATCAAAAGGGGTGAGGAGGTTCTAGGAGCCATCTCCCCAAGAAAGAAATGGACAGAACACCTGAGTTTGAGCGTGCCGAGAGAATGGGGGGGTAACGTTAATGGCAACAAGCATTCACTGGGAAACGGAGCCGACAGCAGAGAAGTTGCTGGGAGAAGGGAGCTGTGCCAGAGGCGGTGGCGGAGCACCCATCCAAGGCTCCCCGTGAGGGCTGCACGAGGTGCTGGCCGGGGTGGGGGCGCTGGCTGCCATCTCACACCGTGGGAACTAAGGTAGAGGCCTGCGACTGGGAAATGTGTGTTGAGATACGGAGGGACAGCGGCAGAAAAGAGGTGAAAGCAACTGCCTTTGGGGAGCAGGAAATGGGAGGGTAACGGAAAGAGCAGGGTTGTTTGTTCTTGCGTTAAACCTCTTTAAATGACACGTGGGTGTGCTTTTTTATTGATTTTTTTTTTTTAAGGGGGAGAAAGAGAGAAACGTCAACGTGAGAGACATCTGTCGGCTGCCTCCTGCACGCCCCCTGCTGGGAGCCAGACCAAGACCTCGAAGTCCATGGAAGGATGCTCAGTCCACTGAGCCACACCAGCTGGGCTGCAGGTGTAATTTTGATGAACATACCAATTAATAGTTTAAAATTGTTATCAGGGCACTTCACTCTCAACGTAATGATTTTTAGTTGATTTTTCTCTGAACAGTCATTGACAAATGATGGTTTTGTATCTGACTCCCAACAACACCCCTTCCTCCTTTTTCCACTGGCTAGACCCTTGCAAACGACACGAGCCCGTCTTGGCGGTGACAGTGTCCTGACTTTAATGGAAGACAGACATTTGGCTTTCACTATTCCAAACGGTGGTGGCAGGTTGCGTTGAGATTTAGAATCTTTAATGATGAGGAATGAGGATGTCTTCGGTTCCCATTGTGTTTTCTCTATTAACCAGTGGGTGACAAGCTAGGTTGGAGAACACCCCATGTTACCCACAAAGTCACTCCGGCAAACTCACCTCTGACGATGTGGGTCTTTCCCTTCAGAAAGCTACAGTCAGTTTAAGCTGAACATCCACAACCTCTTCCCTGTCCTCATAGACACCAAGAGTGTGATCAAGGACACGTGGAAGGTAAGGAATGACAGTGCGCTGGGTTCCGGGTGCTTCGTCCCAGCCACACAGCTTTCTGTCTCTCTGCATTTATTTTTTATTTTATTTTATTTATTATTTATTTGGTGGTATGTGCCCCTAGCAGGAACCGAACCCAGGACTCTGGTCCGCAGGCCAACGCTCAACTGCTGAGCCAAACTGGCCAGGGCTATTTTTTATTTTTAAATATGTTTTTTATTGATTTAGAGAGGAAGGGAGAGAGAGACATCTATCGGCTGCCTCCTGCACGCCCCCTACTGGGGATGGAGCCCACAACCTGGGCATGTGCCCTTATTGGGAATCGAATGGGACCTCTCAGTCCCTGGGACAATGCTCAATCCACTGAACCACACCGGCCGGGCGTTCTCTCTCTTTTTAAAAATTGTTCCTTGAGCTCTTTTCTCGTATTTCACCACCAGTATCAGCTCCTTTTCAATTTCAGCACCTCTGGATCTATAATGATTTCTCTCCCCTCACTCAAGTTCCCGTGTTTGGACCTACTTGTGTATGGTTTGAGTACTTATTGAGATGGGGCCACAGAACTTGTTCTAGAGCTTGATACATACCTAGTATTTGCAACATGCTTACAGAGCATCAGCGGGTACGGTCCCCTCTTGAAAAATCTTGAGAAAACATCTCGACTGGCCTTTAAGGTCCTGGGTTTTCAACCCTGAGAGCCAACTAGGTCACCTGGGAAGCTAAATCCTGACACCTGACCCTACCGTCAGCTTCTCTGGTTTAGAGGGGCGGAGGGGGGGGGGATTTCTGAAGCTCCCAGGTGACTTCTGTTGTGCCTTTGCGGGGAAGCACCCAAGTCGTTTAAATGCTGTTAGAAGTTAAACCGGGGAACAAAGAGGAACTGGATCAGTGCTTTTAAGCCTTAAGCTGATCACTTAAAGCTGATGATTCAGTAAAGGAGCCACAAAAATGAGACCAGGTACATCTGCTTGGTACATCTTTGCCCAGAGATGTGCTTTTCTCGTACGGCATGTATTGCAGCCCCGACGGTGTGCTGTGATGCTGCTGTCTCCATGTATCAGTCCTAGGGGTGAAGGAGAGGGTGTGGCTGTCTCAGGGAACTGATGGTGCGCTTGTCCACACAAAATGAGACAAACTCCGGGACGTGGTGACCTGGCATTGCCCAAGGCCCTCTGGTCGTTGGAGTGCCTGGTGTCCTCCATATGTGCCCTTGGCCTGGGTGTGGGGAGTGCTGTGTTTCTAGAACCCCTGAAACACTAGTCGTTAGAGGAAGACAGGAGGAGCTGTGACAGAAGACATTGGCAGCTTGCTTAGGCTATTGGGTCCCTTACAGGAGCCCAAGCCAAGGACCCCAGGTGCCCCGGCATCCTAAACAAAGAACAAGGATAGGCATGTTTGAAGAGAAAGAAGAGGTGGTGGGAGTTGACGGATTCCCAGGTCATTTCAATAATGGCCCTTTGATAAGACCTGAAGCAGATAACAAACAAGCAGGAATCTTCTATTCTCCCCAACCTGTTTTTGTAATTCTAGGAACTGAATTTCCCAAGGGTTTCAAATCTCTCCGAAGCTTACGAAGTCTTGAACAGGTAAGGAAGCTATCGCTGGGAGCCGCTTCTCCGTCAGTCGATTTGGCTCCCCAGGGCCCGCCGTCAGTGTCCAGACATCGACACCCAGGACGCCACTGGTATCTAGTGGGCAGAGGCCAGGACACGCAGAGCTCTCCAGCCTGAACTGTTCCTGGTCCCGAGGTTGAGAAACTCGGTTCTAGAGGGGAGGGGGCCTGGTAAAAATACTGACAGCTGTTTGATGATGTGGTATTTTCTCTGGGCCAGGGTTTTATTTTTCTTCTGAGCTGTCTCTGATTGCGGGAGTGATGAGCTCTGTGAGAAAGGGTGGTTTTGTTTTGGAACCTGAAGTTTCTCTTGGGCACGGTAGGTGTCCATTCAACATTTGCATGAATGAATGATGCCAATACAGAGGCGAGTCCCTGGCCTGTGGAGCACACTGTTCGGGCCTCAGGCCCTGCAGGGTGTGGGTGTGACCGTCTCTCTGTTTGTCCTGAAGACCACTGGACAGCCAGCCCCCGGGGCAGAGCCCGCACCAAGTTCATGCTGGTGCCCAGGCTCAGGTGAAACATCCGACAGATGGTCAGAACCACCGGTTCAGCCTTGGGCCCACTGTTGTGTCTCACCTGTCCCGTTGCCTAGTTACCAAGTCCTTCCCTTTGCCCAGGCCTAGGTCTTTGCCTTGTTTTTCCTTTAAAGGTGTTTCCGTACTGAGGACGTTTTTTTTCTTTATTGATTTTAGAGAAAGAGGACGGGAGAGGGAAAGCGAGATAGAAACACTGAGGAGAGAACATCAGTTGGCCGCCTCCTGCAGGCCCCCCACTGGGGATTGGGCCACAACCTGGGCATGTGTCCTGACCGGGAATCAAACCAGCGACTTTTTGGTGCATGGGTCGATGCTCAACCACTGAGCCATGCTGGTCGGACCTGAGAACATTTTTATTTATATTAAGATGGTGAGGGGAGAAGCAGAGGGACTATTTTTAGTGAACAGTCTTTATCCTGTTTCTCTTCTCTAACAGCGACTTGAATCCCACCAAGAGCTCGGGGCCAGTGATTACTCACGCGAGCAAGTGCGAGAAATACGGTATGTGCCCCCAAGCGCAGCTCCTCACAGTTGGCAAGAGCTCGGGCCGGTCCCCCGGGGCGGCAGGGGTGTGCACAGGGCAGCTGGGTGCTCTCCACTGGTGCCCTGTGCGGTGTCCCCGGCCATCCCTTGCTCAAAAGGAGCAGTGCTGGAGGCATCAGAGATCCTGGGCAGGGGTGGGGGCGTCTGCTCCTCTTGGCCCTGGTGAGTAGTCTGTTGGGAAGCTCCCTGCTCTGCTTTCTCCTCCTGTGGGGCTCATGCCACAGGGGGAGGGTCGCGGTCAGGGTGGGGTGTGGGTGGGAGAAGGGTGCACATGTCCCTGGAGGAAGGGCGGTTGCAGGTTGCGTGTGCATGGCCAATGCAGTTGTGGAACTGGGGCGGGGATGGCGTGTTCACAGCCCATGAAGTGTGGTGCTGGGGTGGGGGAGAGACCCCTTTTCCAGGTGTGTTCTAATTGCGGCTTGACTCTCTCTCCTGCTTCTGGGACACCGCCTCAGTGGAGACAAAGTACCCCCACGAAGCAGCATACGACGCCTTCCTCTGCGGGTCAGGTGAGAGCCGTGGCCCCTTCGAAAGGAGGCTCGTGCTGTTGGGGATGAGCCTTGCCCTCCCGAGTGTTCAGGGGCGGCACAGATGGAGACAGTGCGGGTTCGCATGTTTTGATAAGGCGATCAGGCTGAGCCTGGCCGGCTATTACACGCCCAGCTTTCCCCCCAGTTCTTCTGAAGGTGGCGCACTTGCTCCTATGGAGAGTGCACGGGTGAGTGTCCTCCCTTTCACCCTGTGATTCGCCCTCGCGGTAAGCCCAGCCCTCCGGGTCCCCTGGCTCTCCCCAAGGGAGGACGCAGATGTCACCGTGTAAATGCAGTCCCTGACCTGGTGGCAGTCCCTGGTCCACAGCCCCCCGCCTGTGCTGGTCCTGGCCCCCCCGCCTCCTGCCTTGGCATTGGGAAAACCCAGCGTCAGGAGGCTACGGCCGTGGGGTCAGGAGCTTCTCGTACCTGCTTCAGTGCTTCCAGTGGGCTGTGCTTGCTCTGTCTGTGGCCGCCCTTCTCGTAACCAGGTAACTCACAGCAAGGTGGGGGAGAGTGTTCAGGTCAGGAAAGGACACATCCTTGGGGTCTGCACTGTCGGGCTGGGCGAAGGGCGGTGACTCGGAGTCAGGCGCACGGAGAGACCCTCGCAGCCCCGGGTTGGCCTCTGGCACACGCGCCCATGCGGTGCCGTCCTGGACCTGTGGCGCTGGGCTCAGCCACGGCTCCACACTCGACACCTTCTGCAGCCCGTCCTTGGTGGCGCATTCGTTCCGTGGGACTTGGCAGGCCAGGTGAAGGAGCTGCTCAGAATTGTAATGTATTCTTTGTGGCCGACATGGAAATAATTTTGGTCTGTAATCTGTTAAATTGGGTTTGGCCTATGTTTGTCCATTTTAGTAACAGATATTGTGCACAGAGACCGCCTATGCTGTATCGACGCCCCATCTCCCGTTCCCTGTGCATCCGTGGCATCCGAGTGCCACTGGGAGGGTGTGCGCCAAGCGGCAAGGCAGCCGGAGCAGCGGAGCCCCTCAGTGCCCTGGTGCCTGGGCCTCACAGCCTTTGTTCCCTTCAGTCCTCGTGACCTAGAACTGTCCTAGGTTTAGAGCAGTTCCATGGTAGTGGCCCGGGCCTGCCTGGCTCCCAAGCCTGTGCCTCGTGCCGGCCTGTGCCCGGGTGCTGGGTCTGGATGGAGGCAGGGCTGGTGGTGGGAAAGGGGGCAAGGAGGACGGCCATTTGGAGTTGAGGGTGAGGTCATGTCAGGGGACGCTCACGTCTGAGCAGTGCCCTCTCGCCAACCCTCTGAGCCCTGTTGCTCATGTTTGTCTGCAGAGGGACCGTCACCAGCAGATGGTGACCACCTGGACTCTCTGCTTTGGTGCAGGCCATTGAGGGACCTTTTTGAGATTGGTCAGTGGGGGAAGCACACCAGCCCGAGCCCCAGGAATAGTGAGGACAGGAGAGGAGAGCTGTCTGGGGCAGCAGCTCCCGCTCCTCCGCCAGAGCCTTAGCCCCGGCCGAGGACACGTGTGTGGCCCCTGGGTGCCTGAGTCTCTGGGGTCTCTGTCCACGTAGTGCTGGCTGCAGCACCTCACATCCTTAGTCCCGGCCGAGGACACGTGCGTGGCCCCTGGGTGCCTGAGTCTCTGGGGTCTCTGTCCACGTAGTGCTGGCTGCAGCACCTCCCATCCTTAGCCCCGGCCGAGGACACGTGCGTGGCCCCTGGGTGCCTGAGTCTCTGGGGTCTCTGTCCACGTAGTGCTGGCTGCATACCTGAGCCCTCCTTCCCGCTGCACCTCGGCGTGCTGGCTCCCTACGTGAACCAGGTGAATCTGATCCGAGCCGGGGTCCCTAAGATCGTGAGTAGCGTCCCCGTTCTTCTTGCCCTACTCGGAGGCTGCCGGGGGAGGCAGCCTGTCTCTGGGGTGTCTTAGGGGTGCTGGTAATAACAAGCTCAGACCTGAGGAGGGCGCTCACACTCCAGTAAACTTGTTTCTTCTTGTCCTTCTGCCAAAGCCCATGTGGACCTGCTCTTTCCTTCCTTTGCCCATCCCCCAGCCCCAGACGGAGCCCTTCCCAGTGTCTCTCTCAGGGGGTTTCAACCCGGGTAGCTTGTCAGCAGGAATGGTGCAAAGTCTCCTCTGTTCTTCTCCCTGTCTTCCAGAACTTTTCTGGTCCAGATTACCCCAGTATCCGGCCCCCCATCCTCATCCTCAGTGTCAGGAGGTGGCCTGGGGTCAGTGAGCAGCAAGTCTATCGTGAGTTCCACAGTCTCTGCAAATTCGATGTCCGGCGACTCACGCGGAACCAGTTCCTGCTCTTGACCAATAAGTTCAAGGAGTAGGTGCCCTGGTTCTAAGCTGTCCTGTCTCCTCCGACCCCCCGTCCCTGCCGCAGCCACTCGGGACCTGCTGGGGCAGTAGGTCGCTGCTCGGGTGCCCGGCCTGAGCCCACTTCTTTTGGCAGCGCGCGGAGCATCCTGAAGGAGTACAGGGGCCACCCCACCCTGCGGGTCTCCCTCTATCGGTACTGGCGACACTCTCCGGATGTCACCTGCTTGTTACAGTAAGTGACCAGGCTGAGGCTGCTCGTTACACTGTCCTGGGCCGGGCACAGCTCGGTAGCTAGTGTGTGCTGCAAAGGAGTTGCTGACAAGTGTGGCGGACTGAGCGTTACTCATGACATTTGACAAGTGTCTGCTGAGCATCTGCTGTATGGGGCACTGTCGTGGGCTCTCAGGCCTCGTGGAGAGAGGGACAGAAGCTGCTGTTCCATGGAGCTCGGCCCGGAGCGGAGGTGACAGCAGGAAACCAGTGAGCTGCTTCATCTGTTAGGTGACAGTGCTCATTAACAGCGAGAGCAGCTCGGGGGGGGGGGGGGTGCTATTGAAGGAGAGGATGGGAGGCCCTGTGTCCAGGCAGAGGGGTCACAGGGCAGAGGCCCTCGAGTGGGAGGTGCCTGGTGTGCCGAGGGGCAGCCAGAAGGCCACAGTGCTGGGAATGACAAGTAAGGAGACACGACGAGAGACATCAGTGGGCCCAGACCGCCGGAGGGCCGGAGGGAAGCCAGTCTCCGGAGGCTGGAGCGGAGAGGTGCCGCGTGGCACTGTGGAGACAGCGTGGAGGACTCGGGCGGGGGGGAGTCTGGGCTCCGATCCCCGGCTGCGGCGTGGACTGCCTGTTGGCAGGGCGGGGGCAGAGGAGGTGGGGTCACTGACAGCCCGGAGCGGAGCCAGGTTTGAATCCAGAGCTTTTGGCCGGAGCATCTCGAGGGATGGAGTTGCTGTTACTGTGCTCACAGGGATTCAGCTGGCTGGTTCAGAGCCAGCCTGCAGAAGCAGCGTTGTTGAAGGAAACATTTGGCTCCTAAGCAGGTCTGTCCCGTGTCAGCCTGTGGTGTAAATCACGAGCAAAGGGACGGTCTGTGTCCCAGAGCCGTTCCGGCCTCCGGGCCGAGTGCGCTGCTGGCGCTGGGCCGGCCGTGGGAGGAAACGCCACGTCTGCAAGAACAGTCGGGAAGAAAGAGGGAGCTTCAGTCCTGCCCCCCACTGTGACCTGTCCTTGCCTTGCAGAGTCTGTGGCATCGTTTCCACCTGGGCCCTTGTCGCGTTTCTCCTGGGACGACCTAGCGCCTGACACCAGGGGCCGCCCGCAGTCCCCTGGCCCCGCGCCTCCCGGGCATGGCCAGCCTGGGCTCCGCCCGCGCGAATCGGATTCTGCCTGCAAGTGGATCTGTCTGGTCACTACCAGGAATTCTGTTCCGGGTTGGATGAGGAAGTCTGTAAATATTGTCAATGATGAGAAAGCCCCGGGTGTCCCCCGCCCCCTGACGTGTTACCTTTACCTTTGTCTCTGCCCTGAGCTCCAAGGGCCCGTCTTGGGCTGTAACTTGTTTCCTGAGCCCATTTCTTCTACAGCTCGCTTCTTCTACCTCTGTGACTTTCTAAATAAACTTTCTTTCATAAAAAAGAAAGAAAGAAAAGAAAGAAATCCTTGGATCTTGTACCTTTGTGACCAAGACCTTTCTTTCTGTCTCTACCGGGGAGAAGTCGCCGCCTCTGGGAATTGAATGTCCCCGAGTGTCTCACGAACAGACTGCATAGAGCTGGCCGCCAGGTGAAGGGAAGACTGTTAGGTCTGGGAGAAGAATCCATGGCCAGTAGGCTGGTGAAGGAGGAAAGTGCAGCTAAGTGTCCCTGCACATTGGTGATGCTTTGCAGACACATTCTAAACCGTAAAATGCTCATAGTCACAAAATCACCCGTCCCCAGAGTTGAGGTGTCATCCACTATTAGTTCGCCACACTGCGAGGTCTGAATTTCACCGACATTGTTTGTCGTGAGCGTGTACGTTGTCTCCGCGGTTCTGTGGTTGAGAAGAGGGACTGCAGAGGGGTGAGCAGATATTCGTGGTGGACAGTTCTGGCAGCGGCCCCCTTGGGCCTTCGCTGCTGCCCCTTCCTGTTCCTCGGGGCGACCCGACGGCTGTGGGAACGGGGCGGACATTCCTGCTGGTCGGGGCAGAGGGGACCCCTGTGACCGCTGGGGAGGGGAGGGCACGGGACAGCCAGAAACCCTGGGCTTATGGGCCGTTGGCATCCATTTGCCCGAGGGCCTGAAGGCCTCACCCCCACGCCTGGACAAAACAGGGATGGTCTCACCTTTAGGATTGCCAGTCTCTAGTTCTTAGTTCTTTAAAAATATTTTTATTTATTGATTTTAGAGAGAGAGATAGAAACATCGATGAGAGAGAACATCGACTGGCCACCTCCTGCATGCCCCCCACTGGGGATCAGGCCCACGACCTGGGCATGTGCCCTGACCGGGAATCGGACTGGCGACCTCTTGGTGCATGGGTCGACGCCTGACCAGTGAGCCACACCAGCCAGGCCAGTCTCTAGCTTTTTTTTTTTTTATCTTCACCCGAGGACATTTCTCCAATTTTTGTTCAGACAGAGTGGAAGGAAGAGAGAGAGAGAGAGAGAGAGAGAAACATCAATGTGAGAGGGACACATCGAGTGGCTGCCACCCACACAACCCCAACCGGGGCCGAGGACAAACTGCAACCAAGGTAGGTTCCCTTAGTGGGAACCGAACCCGGGTCTCTCCGGACCGCAGGCCGACGCTCTAACCGCTGAGCCAAACCGGCCAGGGCCAGTGTATAGTTTTTAACCACATACTTTGTTGTTGTGGTTTTTGCCTGAGAAAGGCATTGACAAAACATAGTCTCGATAAACACAAGAAGATTATTCTGTGTGTGTGTAAATTTCACTCAGTGTTCGTCTAGCATTTTGAGTCACCTGGCATCCCGTCTCAGGACCTCTGGCCTCAAGGATCATTCCGAATCTTTCACTGACCGCAGATACTCCAGGGACCTCGGCTGGAAGCAGGCTGGGCCTTCACAGGCCTCTTGACGGAGCCTCGTTCGTCCATTGTTCTCTCCGGGAGCTGGGCCCCGAGACCCCGGCTGCGCTGTGCCCTGGGCGTCTTCCTTGGGGGCTCCCGAACCAGCTGGACCAGAACAAGAATACGAGCTGGTCTCAGTGCTCGGCGCTGTCTGTGCGCCGGGGCAGCTTCGGCCGGCGGGCCCTCTGTCAGGTCTCCAGGCCTGCAGAACAAGAATACGAGCTGGTCTCAGTGCTCGGCGCTGTCTGTGCGCTGGGGCAGCTTCGGCCGGCTGCCCTCTGTCAGGTCTCCGGGCCTGCGGAACAAGAATACGAGCTGGTCTCAGTGCTCGGCGCTGTCTGTGCGCTGCGGCAGCTTCGGCTGGCGTGCCCTCTGTCAGGTCTCCGGGCCTGCAGAACAAGAATACGAGCTGGTCTCAGTGCTCAGCTGTCTGTGCGCTGGGGCAGCTTTGGCCGGCTGCCCTCTGTCAGGTCTCCGGGCCTGCAGAACAAGCCCGCCTCCCAGTGCCCCAGAGGGAGAAAGGGACGTTGTCATTGGATGTCATCATTGTCACTCATCTTGGGCATAAAAGAGGGAGACAGGTCACCCCTGTTTTTTGGGGGGAGAAGTTCCCCTAAGATAATTCAGGAGATAAAAAATGCAACTTCCTACAGAAGCCGGGACACAGTAGAGTAAAAATGGTCGTTAGAATGATTTCCAGTTTGTGAAAACCCAAATTGCCACTTGATGGCACCAAGAAGCAAGAAACCCAGAGCTGTTCCTGGTCCTCTGGTGAGTCGTTCAAAGCTCCCTTCTCCCCAGATGGGAGGTGGGTGGGACGGATGTTTTCCCACCCACTGAGCCACACCGGCCGGCGACCGGGGGTCTGTAGAGTGGGGGGCTCAGTTAGGGACGCCTGCCGCCCGTGATGAGGGAGGGCTGGCGTGTGTTCCCCGCCAAGTCAGCTCTGACTGCTGATGACCCTGTGAACACCTGGTGCCGGTAAAGCCTGCCGTGGCCACCCCGAGTCCGGGCCCCTCCCACACGCTGGGTGCAGGGCTGCCCACCTAGTGAGCCTCTCACTACCTAGTGAGCCTCTCACTCTCCCCGTGTCCCTGCCTGTGGTGTGTGACGTTGGCACAGCCAGCCAGGTTTGTCTGCCCCGACTCTGCTGCAGCTGCCGGGTCACTGAGAATCCTACCGGGGGTGTGGTGAGTGCCCAGGGCAGCAGGACCTGAGCTAAGGGTGCACTGGGTGCTGGGCGTGGTGGCAGCGAGGGAGCAGCTCGTCCTCCGTGGCCCCTGGCTTGGCAGAGGCAGCAGCAGCAGCATCTTGGTGGAGCTCATGTGGCGGCACAGTTTCAGCATCGCGCGCATAGCTGTTTGGGGCGCCCTAACTTACCTTGGAGTTTTCTGTCCCGGGAATCTGTGCGCTAGCTGATATCCTCCTAATAAATCCCCTTTCTACTCAAGTTAGCCGGAGTCTGTCTCTGTTGTTTGCAATTATAACCCTGACCCAGCCCTGGCCAGGTAGCTCAGCGGTTAGAGCGTCGGCCTGCAGACCAGAGAGTCCCGGGTTCAGTTCCCACTAAGGGCATGTACCTCGGTTGCAGTTTGTTCCTGCCCTGGTTGGGGTCGTGCAGGTGGCAGCCACTCAATGTGTCTCTCTCACGTCGATGTTTCTCTCTCTTTCTTCCTCTCTCCCTCCTGCTCTATATGAAGATAAATGCAAAAATGTCTTCTGGTGAGGATAAAAAAAAAAAAATTAAAACCCTGACTGCTACCGGACAGTTTCCGGCCAGGAATACCTGCAAAGTACCTCCTGTGTTTTATGTGAAGTGTATTAGATTATTGATTCTAGAAGTTTCCCGGAAAACTCGCTGGAAAGAAGGGCACTTGGGTATTGATCTATAATCAAGTCCCCCTAGTGCCGCACTCTTAAAGACGATATGTTCTAGCAACCCAGTGTCCATCGGGGATAAACAAATGTGAAATACACATTCCACTTAATACAATACCCAGCTTTCGAAAGGAATGAGGCTCTGGCAGCTGCTGCGACACGGATGAGCCTTGAAGATGTCGTGCTGGGTAAAATCAGCCAGACACAGAGGACCAAATCCTGTGTGAGTCCACTTACCTGAGGTCCCTGGAGGAGTCAGAACTCAGAGGACAGAGAGCAGACTGGAGGGCCCCGGGGCTGGGGAGGGAGTTAGTGTTTAACAGGGACGGAGGCTCAGCTGAGACGATGGGAGTGTGTGGAGACGGGTGGTGGTGATGGTTGCGCAGTTTTGTGATTGCTCTTAATGCTGCTGAGCTGCACATTTAAAAATGGTTAAAACTGTAAATTTTAGGGTATGTAATTTTTTAAACTTAGCTCCTTATTTTTTCTTAAATTTTTTTAAAATTGATTTCTTTAGAGAGAGGGGAAGGGAGAGAGAATAGAAACATCGACGTGAGAGAGAAACATCGATCGGCTGCCTCGTGCACACCCCTCTGCTGGGAATCCAGCCTGAACCCTGGCACATGCCCTGACCGGGGGTCGAACTGGTGACTTCTTGGTACAGGGCACGACACTCAGTCCAGACTAGGATATGTGTGTTTTAACATAAAAAGTTACATGCAAAAATCTCCTCCAAAGAGCAGCTCTTGTGTGTCAGAGTCTGTGTGAGTGCAACCTGAAACCTACATCCAAGTTCTCCTGCTGTTCACGCTCAGGATTAGGCGTTGGGCCCTGTTTGTGGTGAGGACCGACAATGGTCCCACATAACTGCTCAGGGGATCAGACAGATGCTGGGGCCGCGTGGGCTGATTTCAGGATTGAGTGTGGACGGTGCTGCCGCAGCGAGGACAGGATGCCCGTCTGCGGGTCCCCGTGCCGACCACTGAAAGTCTTCCCCAGGAAGGGCTCGAGGGAATCTGGGGCTCAAACAACCCGCAGATGTTCCCTGCTGGAAGTCCAAGGAACCTGGCAGAGCCCCGGCCCTCACAGGAAACGGAGGGAGGTGGAGGCGGCGTCCTGAGCTGGGGAATAGGAACCGGGGGGGGGGGGGGGGGTGCGCGAAGTTTGGGCCGGGGCAACCTCCACACCTACCGTGGAACCAAGGCGATGTGCGGTGCTCACTTGGTACTTCAGAGCCATGTCCAGGTCGGGGCAGACGGCCAGTTTTTTCTCTTCGTGGTTCTAGAGGCGTCACGCGATGACTGGGGACTTGCGGGAAGGCACATCTGGGGTCCCCGATGGCAGGAGATGGTG